GACTGCCCATCTATATCCGCGATCCGGCCGTCAATCTGTCTGCCAAGTCCAATCCAGATATCACATTGGAAGCGATGTCCAGATAAAAAGAACAAACAAGCCAATGTAAGGATGGCATTCGTACCTTGGGTAAATTAGTTTTAACATGGTTTTCGCTGTCTCTACCACTGCTACTGAGGCCGAGGCCCCTAAGGTCCTGACTGTTCGCGAGGTCTACCAACCTCCGTCGGCGACCAGTAGTAATGGACGCGTGGTGCCCATCAAGCATGACAACAAGGCAGACTTTGGAGCCGAGATCTATGGTATTGATCTTAACAACTTCACCTCGGCCGATTTTGCCTTCATCTCCGATGCCCTCCATCGCCACAAGCTCCTGGTTTTCAAGGAGCAGCCGCAAATGCTGACACCACAACAGCAATACCGACTTACCTCGTGGTATTATACCGATTGACTGTCTTCTCATCCATATTCGTCACGTATTGATCCTTGTCTTTCCTATAGCTTTGACCCTGACGAAAAGACCGGAGGTTTCGCTCACGGCGCCGATCCTGTACTTCTGTCGGAAAATGGGGTCACCATTTATGGTCTTCCCAACCGGCCAGCTATCAATGCCCAGCCACAGGTCCATATTCTAGGGCGTGGCGAGGTCCCTCAAGACCATTTCGATTTCCCGCCAGGATTCAAAGTGAAGGGCATTGACCACGTCAACTTCCATCTTCCACCACACACCCCACAGGAAGAAAGAGACGCAGGCTCCAGTCGATTCTACCAGTGGCACTGGGATGGCTCTCTGTACAAGATCCCTCCCCCACGGGTAGGCTGTCTGCTGGCCGTGCGCACACCGAAAGGCCCCGACGTTACTGTACACTGGGGTGACGGTACTGGGAGAACGATGGACATCGCGCCCGGGGCTACTGCTATGGTAGCGGGGTCGCGTGCGCTACAGATCTTGGAACCAGAATTGCGCGAGATCGTCTTGCACAGTCGTATTGAGTATGCGCCGCACGCGTTCCAGTGGATGTCAACTGCGCGCAGCACTAAACTCGGTCACCTTATCGAAACGGAGGGGCGCGAGATGCCGCTAGACAAGCTTTCACCGTGGACAGAGAACGAAATTTGTGTTTATCCTATGGTGTGGACCAATCCGGTGACTGGGGAGAAGTCCCTTCAGGTCCACGGCCAGGGTGCTTTCAAGCTGTATCTCAAGGACAAACCGGACGGGGAAGAGACGGTACTCACCGACTTGAAGGAGGTCCGCGCGTTTATGGACAAGTGAGTTTCGCTAATTTGGCGTTAGAGATCCATGATGGGCTAACTAGCGACCGCAGGATTATGAGTCCAGTCTTGTCACCGGAGTTTATTTACGCGCATCCTCATCAGGAGCAAGATGTCATCCTCTGGTACAACAGGGCCTTGTGGCATAGTATTGTGAGTGTTTTCTTATTTGTCATTTACGAAAACGCAAATCCTAACTGGACACAGACTGAGTTCCCCGAGTCTTACGGACCGCGAATCATGCATCAGTGTAACATTGCAGCGTCAGACCATCCTTCGATGTAGGAAGATGCCTGATCTGGTCCTTGTGCTGGTAGATCCATCACTTGCTGAATGTAATATGTTACCCTTTAATTGAGTGTTTAATAGTTGCTCATGGCAAACACGTAGATGCTACCGATTCCACCGAGTTAAGCGCACTATGCTAAATTCTTGATCTCAACGCCACTACGCCAAACACGATGCTGCGAGATCCGCCGTCAGCGCCCGCAGAAGACGGCTCCTCGACCAGAATTTGCAACCGATAATGGTTTCCACCTGCTTAGCGTATGTCTCTGTAGCCATTCTCAAGTATTAGTGTTGAAAACCTATTGACTGTCATAGATTTCTGGAAAAGATATACGTATGTTGTTTGGTTGGATGTTGACCTTACGTCAGGGTCTAGCTGGATCGTAACACGTCGGTTTTGCTCAACAAAGCCTTTCTGTCCGTAGTTTCGTCTCTTTGGTCCGCCTTGTCCGATATCGTATGAAAAAGAAAACGGAAAAGGCTGGGTAAAAAAGAGGACGAGCCTTTAGCGGCTTCAAGCACTTGACTCCAAATACAGGTGCGATTTGCTTGTTGGGCTCGCTCTACACAGTGGGCGGGGGCAGCTGGTATAGCGCGCCAATCACCGCGCTTTCTCGGGCTTCGGACACCAAAGCAGTCAAGATGAGGCCTCTAATGAACAGATTAGGATTGAGAGGTCCCGAGTAAGCATATATTGGAAAGAGTCGCTAACCCTAGGCACGATGAGAACTAAAGGGGGCTGGGCACGCTTAAGTTACTTAGGGAGTAGCTCAGGTCCGACTCAGAAATCGCTCAGAGCCAGCTCAAGAGGGCGCAGTGAGCTGCTTACCCTGTGATCTAGGAGCCGATCGCCAGCCGAGGCGGTAAGTCTACCGTCCATTACTATATTTTGAAGGTTCCCCAGAAAATACGGTAAGGCGCTTCAACCGACGTCATTATCCAGATCCAGATCCAGATCCAAACCCCGGCCCATCGGCGATTCGGGGACTGACCACTACACTGCATTTAGCACAAGAGGGCAAGTTCAATCAAGCTCGACCAATCATTTAATTTCTGGTTGAGCAAGCCACCGGACTGGAATGTGGGGTTGACAGCCGATCGCCGCGAAAGGGTCTTTCTTTTTTATGACTTAACGAAAATTGCGTGCCGCGCAACCGAGCGCTCCGTCTCCATTTCAATTCGGCCGACAATCCGATCTGATCCAATGCAGTCAGTCATACTCTGCGAGAAATCATCGTTGAAAAACAGATTTCTTTATTCGATTTGTGTTTAATAGCAATCTGTTTTGCCTTGCAGCGGGTGGTTTATATCCGAACAGAAAATGTCGACGGACGTGGGCGGGAACGTCGGCAAGACATCGGAAGCAGCCGAGTCACCGTACGACTTTGAAAATCTCGTCGAACCACCCATTCCTGCACCAAAAGAACTCTGCAAACATGATCGCGGCTGGAGGAGGGTGGTTCGCAACTTTACGCCTTCGTATTTACTCCCCATTCCCATCTGTCACCACAGTACACAGGGCCGCGCTAACACCTCGAATAGATGGTTCTCCGTCACAATGGGCACGGGGATCGTGTCTATACTACTACATAATCTACCCTACAACGGGATCTGGCTATACTGGCTGTCCGTTGTGATTTTCGCGCTGAACGTCCTCCTCTTCGTGACGGGGTGTGTTCTCAGCGCGCTGCGCTATATCTTGTATCCCGAGGTGTTCGGGGTCATGATCACACACTCGGTGCAGTCGATGTTCATTGGGACATTCCCTATGGGCCTGACCACGATCATCAACATGATCTGTTTTGTCTGCGTGCCTGTCTGGGGCGAGTGGGTGCCGTACTTTGCTTGGGGTTTGTGGATCTTTGATGCTGCGGTTTCGGTGTTGACGGCCGTGTCATTGCCGTTTCTACTGTGAGTATTTATTTCTTTTGCAGGTAGTTGTTGTTGTGGTAGTGTCGCTGAGTATGATGGTTTGTAGCATGGCACACGGTGGAGAAACACATCTGTCGTCAATGACGGCCGTGTGGCTCCTCCCCATCGTGACCTGTATCGTCGGGGCTTCCTCCGGTGCTATTGTGGCGGAGGTGCTCCCGAACACGCAGTATGCGCTGTGGACGGTCCTCGTGAGCTATATTCTATGGGGGATCGGGGTTCCGTTCGCGTTGATGGTGATGGTGATTTATCTCCAGCGGTTAACACTGCACAAGCTGCCTCCGAAGGCAGTGATTGTGAGTGTGTTCTTACCTCTTGGCCCGCTAGGCCAGGGTGGATATGGGTGAGTCTTTGTTCCATCACTTTGAGTTGAGTCCGGTGTGACGGCGTGGTATACTGATACTAGTGAATTGCTGCTAGTGCCATGAAACTGGGCCAGTGCGCCCAGACCATCTTTCCCCAGACCAAAACCCTCGAGCAGGCGTCTGGGCCGATGTTTTATACGATTGGTTTCCTCGTCGCTCTCATCCTGTGGTCTTTTGGGCTGGTCTGGCTGTTTTTCGCGTCTGCTTCGATTGCGCGCAGTCGGACCTTCCCGTTTAATATTGGATGGTGGGGGTTTACATTTCCGTTGGGTGTCTTTGCCTCTAGTACCTGCCAGATGGGATCGGAGTTGCCATCGAGGTTCTTTGATGTTCTTGGAACTGTAGGTTTTGTTTCTCTCTCTCGATCTGCCCTTGTCTCTAACTTGATTTATTCTCACAGATTCTATCACTCTGTGTAGTTGCGCTGTGGATCATGGTTAGTATTGGAACACTAAGAGGCGTGGTGTCGGGCAAGTTATTCTTTGCACCGTGTTTAGCTGATCTACGCGCACCGGAAGACGAGAAGAACAAGGACGGGGGCAAGGCAGCCTGAGCATCACGTGACCCGGGTGGGATTTTCGAATATTGGAATTTTCCTTTTATTATTTTTCCAATAAATGATTATTTTATTTTATTTTTTCCCTCTTTGTTAGTTCGTTAATCGTGGAGTCCAGCCCAGCTTCTTCTTCGTCCTTCGTGCTGACCGCCCTCGACATCTTCTCGTCATCCTTTCTACTCACCTCGCCCCATCGCCTGCTCTCCCATCGCAGTGTGCGCCCTGTCCAGCTCGTCGCCCCCCTGAGTTGCCTTTGCTTTGGCTCCCCAACTGCGCTAACCGGCCTAATTCGGCCACCGTAGACGCTAAACCCTGTTCGGTTCGAACTGTGGGTACTGGCAGCCTCAGGCACCACGAACAACAAAACACGCGGCCTTCGCGCTTCCAACCGCAGCAGAAAGTGCCCGACAGTTGCCGGCCACACGCGAGGCGCAGGATCGCACCGTGTTCGGTCATTCGATCGTGTGAACCCTAGTTTGCGTTTTTTTGCCCGCTTTTTTCCGGGGCAAGGAGTGGCGCGCTCATGTGTCGCGACCGAACGCTGATGATCGACCCGCGCTGCCGCTGACGCAGATTAGTTGAAGATGATGGGCTACGGGAGCCATCCTTTCCAGCAGCAGCAGCAACAGCCATCGCAGCAGCAATCGCAACAGCAGCAGCAACAGCAACAATCTACGTCTCAAGCTCAACATCCGCTGGGCCCGCAGGCCCAGCAGCAGCATCACGTGCAGTCGCCGTCGCTGGTTGCGACGCCCAATCTACCGCAACAGGCCCATGGCAGTCCATTCACCAGTAACAAGCTGCCCTTTCAGGCACGGCAGCAGCAGAGCTTTGCATCCTCGCAATCGCCAGACTTGCGGAAAATGACATCGACGCCGTCGGGGGGCCCGCTGCCGGGATATCCCACCTCCGCGAGCTTCCCGCAGTTTCCTGGCCAATTTCCCCCCCAGGGTGGCTCTCCAAACCTGATATCGCGGACTTCAGATCCCATGGCCCTACAGAACTTGCAACGAGGCTTCAACCCGATGGCCCAGGCCCAGGCCCACATGCGCCAACAGCAGCCGGGGATGAGTCCGTCGAATGCCATGCCCCATGCTGCGCAAGGTCTGAATGTGAATGTTTCATCGCCTCAGCAATCGATGAATCGCTTGCCGCAGCAGCACGCGGGAATGCACCAGCGGGACAGTCACGCACATGCACATCCCACCGCCAGTCCCGCCATGGCCAGCCCGTCTATGTATGCCATTAATCAACAGCAGCGACAGCCGCATTCGCAGCCTCAGTCCCCGCAGCAATCGCAGCAGCAGTTGCAGCAACATCAGCAACGGCATCATCAGCAGCAGGAGCGCCTCCAGCAACAGAGGATGGAGCATCAGAAGCAAATTCAGCAACAGCGGCTTGAGCAGCAAAGGCAGATGGAGCAACAGCAACAGATGGAACAACAGAAACAGCATCAGCAGAGGCTAGAGCAGCAGAGGCTTGAACAGCAGCAGCACGAGCAACAGCAGCAGCAACAACGCTTGGAGCAGCAACGGCTTGAGCAACAAAAACAACAGCAACAGAGGCAGGAACAGCAAAGACTTGAACAACAACAGCGCGATCAGCAGCAAAGGCTTGAGCAACAGCGGCTACAAAAACTGCAGCAACAGGCTCAAGGTCAATATTCGTACCAATCACAGCAGCCTCAATACCAGCAACCCGGTCAAGCCCCGTTCCATCCATCTCAATATCAGCCTCAAGCACAAGGTCCATATCAACATACCCAATTCTCCCAACCGCCGCAGCAACCTCAATACCAGCCACAGACCCAATTCCAACAATACCAACCGCCACCTCACCCGTCGCAAGTGCCGCCACCACATGCATCGGTTCCGTCGACTGCTCCGGCCTTCGCGGAATCTCCCGCTAAGCAAGATCGGCAAGAGGAGAAGAATCCTGCGCCAAAGAAGAAGGCTAAGCCCCGGAAATCTGGCCCTGCACACACTCCCACTCAAACTCCCAACCTACCTCCTTCTCAGCTTCCTCATCTACCGCCTACTCAGCCCCCTACACAAACACCTGCTCAACATTTCCCTACTGCCACAACTGCTCCTTCTAATGGGGGCCAGCAGATGCCCGGTATGTCGGCTGCGGTGCCCGCCCAGCCAGGGTCAACCCCGCGTCGCCGTGGACGACCACGCAAGGAAGAGGTAGCAGCCAGGGCGGCGGCTCAGGCGGCTCAGAATGGACATCCGCTTCCTGGGACTCCTCAAACTGGACAGTCCTCCTTCGCGGCAACAATGACTCCAACCCATGCAGCCTCTACAGATTCCGAACAGCCCTCAGCCCCGTTGCTCGGCCCGGATGGAAAACCCGTGATCGGTCCAGATGGAACTCCTCTTCCTTTGAAGCGAAAGCGTGGTCGGCCGCGCAAGGAGATACAGCTTGCTTACGCAGCCGCAACGGGCAAGCCGCTACCACCACCCAAACCCAGAAAACCAGCCGCTCCCAAGAAGCCCGGCACTGGACGTCCGCGAGGACGACCCCGTAAGGTGGATGTGGAAGCTGCTAAAGCTGCTGCGGAGGCGGCTCAGGCACAGCAAAACGGTCAACAGCCGTCGTCGGGTGAAGGTGTAATGGATTTCAATACGGGTCAGCCACACACGGCGAATATGGCTGTGAAACACACTGGTCCCGGGGCGGAGGACGATCCCAGCAAACGTGCGAGGCAGATACCGCAGCAGGCGCAATTTTCTCAGCAGGGCCAACTGCCCGCTCAACCAGGCTCACATGGATCGCACCCAGCTCAGCAAGCGGGTCAACTGCCAGCTCAATATCTGCAACACCAAACCCAGCATGGCCACGCCCTACCACCACAGGGACAACACATGTCAATGCCGCCACATATGCAAGTACACCACCATCCATCGCCCATCCACCCTCCACGACCCCCACCACCTCATCCATACATGCAACCCCCAGGCCCAGGACAGCCGTCGATGCCAATGCAACACCAGATGCCGCAGCAGCAGCAACATCCAAATCAGCACTCTCTCCACCATCAGCAACAGCCCTCTCATCCCCAGGGCTCGCAGATGCAGCAGCAACAGAGTAAACCACCGGCGCCGCAGCATCAGAATCAGCACACATTCCAAGTGCAGCTCCAGCCTCAGCCGAGTTAATTGCCAAACTCGACTCGATCTTCTTTATACTTCTTGCTTGTTTTAATTCTTATTCCAGCTTTTTTTCTTTTTCTTTTTTTGTTTCAAATTGTGGCTCTTATTCATGTGCATATCTCTACCTATCTCCCTCGGTGCGTTTCTGTTATGTTGCGTTTCGGCGCTATGGATGACGCATGATGGATGGTGTAGGTATCTTGTGGACTACTGCATTCCTACCTACCTTACTGTTCGTTTAGCATGTTCTTTCTTTTCTCCAGTGGTGAGCAGGTTTTTATTTTCTTTACCCAAGTCCGGTCCTTCGGTTGTTCTTTGTTAGTACATAGTCTTAATTCATGTCATGTTACCCACTTATCTTTGGTGTTATTTTTATAAAGTAGTTCCACAAGAACTGGTTATACAAAACAGATGTAGTGACTACAAAACTAGTTACTCTTATTTGGTAGGTAACCAATTCCAAGATCCAGGTACGCACGCATCTGAAGTTTGATTGATTGATACACCATTTAATCGCCACCAATCTGCAGAGGTTCGGCAACCCCAGGGCAATTCATGCTGGCCGACCCCGGATCATCACACACAAGTCATATGAGTGCTTTGGGGAGAGAGCCGCTTTAGAGCCGCTTTCGCTGTTTGTTTGTGTCCCAATCGAGACCGTCAAACAGCGCGCAAAGCATGTAGACTCGGGCAGGAAGAACCTGCTGTATCTATCCTCATGCTGAGCTTCTCTTAACCTCACGTTGAGCCTTCGCCTGATGTTGCGTTCAATTCGCCTTCACCTCGTGTTGAGTTCATTTCGCCTTTGCCTTATGCTGAGCTTGATTTGTCTTCGCCTCATGTTGAGCTCAGTTTGTCTTCATCCTCATTCTGACGTCAAGCGGGAAATACGGAACTCACAATAACTTCCGGTCAGAGAAATACGCCCACTGACCATCCAGGCATCCTCTTTTCTCGCGCGATCAATGAGGACTTGCCTGGTCCAGCTTCAGCTACAATGTTGTTCAATACACATCCTCCATCTGATTCGAACCATTGCGACAATGGCTACCTAGATCTGGGGCCTCCGCTCACAATATATCTATACAATGGAATACCACAATTCTGGAGGATTTGGGAGACTGAAATGCATCAGTACAACGCGGGTTACCAAGATACTGAATGGGTGCTGTTCACTCATGTGGACGAGGAGACGTTCCTTCGCGACTTCTTCAACTCTCCCAGCAAAACAATCACACGCAGCTGGAACGCCTACGACAAAAACCAACGTCTCTTACTTACGAGAATGCCGTTTACAACCCCGCATGAAGCAGCCGGAAGGACTTTCGAGTACTCATTGCTCAAGGCCCTCCAACCCATGGGGCTCGACACCAAGCTCAGCACCACCGGATGTGCCACCCGTTATGGGAAGGACGGCGGCAAACAACCTGATGGCCAGTATCAGCCAAAAAGACGCCCTCCAGGTCGCACCGCAGACTGGCCCGCCTTGGTCCTGGAGGTGGCTCTTTCTGAGCCGCAATCGAAGCTGGAGTCAGATGTGCGTTACTGGCTCCGCCAGTCAAACGGGGCGGTTCAAGTGGCCCTGACGATGAAAATCAATCGACGTATCCCCGAGATTACCATCGAAAAATGGGCGCGAAACGACGAACAAAGAATTGGGCGCCCGCATCGGGAACAACGCATCACCATCCGCAAAGACGGCAAGAAACGCATTGAAATTCGCGGTGGGGACCTGGTGATCGACTTTGAAAAGTTATTCCTGCGCACGCCGAGTATTCCGAGAGAGATGGATATCCGACTAGGGGTCGAGGAGTTGCAGTACATCGCGTTTTCAATCTGGCAAGTGCAGAAATTCTACAACATTGATGATGAGGAGGCAGATGAGGTTGGTCAGTAGATGGAGGTAGAGAGGAAGAGAGACACTCAATATCATTTAACAAAGTCTCTGGATAGCTATCAAGAAGCAAAGCAGTCTCCTTATTCCATAGCACCCGCTTCTTTGTCTTCGATTTCCACTAATTTCTGTTCCAAAGCAACACATATTTTGATAGAGAAATGGACAATTGAAATTGGTGGATTGTTTGCAATTTTCTTGTAGGGCGACAGCGACGTGATGTATGGCCATGGAATACTTTTAGGGCCCCCATGGAGACTGCGATCAACAGTTAACTAAACCATTTCCACATCCACCCCCGCATTCTCCCCTTCAGCATCTGAATCAACAACACACTCATCAGGCCAACTGCTAAGATCCAGTCCCAAGGGCGGCGCAATATTCCTCATAACACCTGCACACAGCCTAAACGCACGTTTCGACGCCGGGTCCACGGTGGCCATGGCGTGGATCCAGAAGAGGGCTTTTCTCGTCAGCGCGACGGCGGTTGAAAGGTCTGTTTCCAGTGTTGCCGTTGCTGTTGCCAGGTATGGGGAGTAATTTGCATTTTCGTTTGTGTTGTGTTGGGAAGGGAAAGAACGCGAGCAGGATGATAAACCCAGTAGCAGAGCGGTGGTGGCCTGCATTATGAAGTGGAGAACGCTCCACCATGGAGTTGTGCGGGCAAGCCAGGGGAGGTTTGGGGATTCTGGAAGAATGGAGATCAGCGAGCAGGCGGCTTGGAGGCATTGCGTTGCCAGTTCTGCTCGCATGCTGGATGACGAGGAGTGGGAGTGGGAGTGGGAAGGTCTGCGGGGTAAAGAAAGGGAGCTGGAGGATGATTGAACGTTTGAGGAGGTCGTAGATGAAGACTGCGGCGTCAGTGTTGTGAAGCATGGTCGGTAGAGGGTCATGCGTGTAGAGTAGTAGTTCATCGCTAGACTGACGCGCTCTTTTGTGTATTGGGCGTTATCATCGGTGAGAATGGCACGGTTGAGATGCCAGGGACTTGTCGAGTCGGGACTGGTGAATTGATAGTCTGGCGGTAATTTGGAGAGCCATTTGTCGAGCCGAAGACCGTAATTGTGCATGCGATGCTCGACTTGGGTGGTGCCGAGACGCATGCCTTCGATGCTGTAGACCCTATTGATGACGGCCTGGGTGATGATGGATAGATCGACGAGGCAGTGGAAGAATAGTGAATGACTGGGCCTGCACGTTGCAGTCCAAGAAGAGGCTGGGGCTTGGTCTCGGAGCTGGGCCGGCGGCTCGTGGATTGTAGGCTGCAGCTGGGTCTCGCGGAGCTTTTGGTCCTTTAGAAGCTGGTTGACGGCCGGCTGGGTGAATAATTCTTCGTCGAATGGCAGTGGTGCCGGGACAGAGCTGATGCTCTCGTCGACGCCGGTGACGCGCCCGGTCATTGATGAGAGAAGGCATTCTAGTTCGAAGATGGTCCACCAGAGCCGATACCGGGTTTCTTGGAAGTCTTTTTGGTTTTGAACGTTCGCCATGCGAAGATTGACGCCGAGAGAAAGGGCAGAGCTGAAAGCCATGTGGGAGAATTTGCACGCCCTGCTGCTGGTCAACGTTTGTAGACACAATAGAACGACAAGAGATACCGATTGAGTTGGCCCAAACAAAGAAGATAAACAGCCACCAGGAGCTCCAACTGAATCTGGTGGAGATCACTATGTTCGAAAAGGACGTGGGAGTGGAGCCCCAGCTTTCTGGCTCGGGTCAAAAACAGGAAGTCGTCCTCCTGAGCGTGAGAGGTATCCGTGAATCGGGTGTAGCGGCAGCCGATGGCGAGGATCATGTTGAGTAGCGCCATCCAATTCCGATGCGGGATGTACCCTCGGTCGAAAAATTCATGATATTGGTGCTCGAAGCGCGGCTTGCGAATGATGTTGAACGTCGGATGGACGAAGGTGAAATAAGCCTCGAGGTATCGGTCTGCAAGGTCTCGGCTTGGAACGACCGATGGATCGGAAGGGTCCACGAACGGGATATCCAGGTCATCCAGATGATAGTTCACCTTCGAGATGGATGTCTGTTGCTCATCATCGATACCCTTGAACACCGAGGCCTCCGTGACGCCCTTATGCTCAATATCATCCGCGAGCTTTCGCATCCACGCAACCTCCGAAGCCTTCCCAATGAAGCCGGTGGCACGGGAGTTCTCGTTGCGGTTCAAATCCTCCTCAAGAATATCGATTCCATCCAGCGATCCCATCGACGAGGAGTCGTCGTCCTCCTCCTTCTGATTTGACAAGGCGGTGTCTGGGCCCTGCTTCGACAAGGGCAAATGGTGTTAAAATACTCTTCGTTGGCCCAAAAAAAAAAAAAGAAAAGAAAAGAAAAGAAAAGAAAAAGCGGTTCGACGTCCGCACTCAAAAAAAAAGGGGGGGTAAGACCGTCTACCTACCTTTAGGACTTTTCTGATCTTGCGCGCTGTAGTGGCATCGGCATCGACCTCTAGCTCACGGAGGAGAGATTCATAACGGTCCACGCGCCTGGATAACGAGCCGAGACGTTTCTGATCGCGGACCCGTTTGACATCTTCGTAAGAACACTGCTGGTTGTGCTCGATGCATTGTCTGCAGCTCGGTCGGTTGCCGTCACACTTGATCTTGCGTTGGCGGCAGGGCTCGCACGCCCGTTGGGAGCGGCGGCGGTGACTTATCGTGGTCGCGTTGGGTGCTCGAGGGATGGCAACTTTATTCCAAGCTAAGTTCGGGCTGCCCCCACGACCACCCCCAGGGGGAAGCCCGGTGTCCCGGGGGACACTGACTGCGATGAGAATGATGGGTTCGTGGAGGGGCCTTGGACGAAGAAAGGGTTGTTGCTGTGGCTAGCGGTATAGGGTACTTCGGCGGTCGGGCTCCAGGGCCAAAAGGCATCGTTGGTTGTGGCGACACTAGTCCCTGGGCTTAACTGGTCGAATTCATCGGGTGGGTTGGCCATAGTAGCTGTAGGATGTTCATCGGAATAAAAAGGACCTTCAAGTAACTAGTCATATACTTCGAAAGTAATGGGTTAAGAGAGAGAGAATGAAATCATAGGTAAAAAGGTGGAGGAGGCCGACTTGGAATGACAGTCAGAATAATGGGCCGAAAACGAACCACTCCAGCTGACTCGATTCGAGCCGAAGCTGTGCATGCTAATTCCCCGGTTCTGCTGCGTTGTTCTGTGCGCGGGGGACGGTGGTGAAGCCGTGTCGCCACAGCGACCATGCCCTGACGTGGTGCTTTTGACGTCAGTGTGAAGAACGCTCGACCAACCAATAAGCTTGTTTAACAAACCACACCTCGTTCTCGCTTCGAGACATGACTGCTCACAGCTGCATGCAACCCGCCACTGCTGTGATTCGCAAGCAAGGTGTATCGCGGTGGACACTAGGTCAGCACCCAGCCGGTCGCTGTCTCTCTGCCAGCACCTCGTCTTTGCCGAGACTTAGGCTTTCGTAGCGGTCAAGCATGTCCGACAGCCCGAGACCGGGGTAATCTTGGAGACTCTGTTCGCCCTCGCCGCCAATGCCGTGGTATTTCTCGTGCTGGTTCAATTTCTCTAGACCTTCAGCATACTCGTCGAAGCGACTATGTCCCTGCGCTGAGGACTCTTCATCGAACAGATCTTTCAGCTCGTCCGGGATGGAGCTGGATTCCCGAATCTTACTACCCTGTGCCTTGGCTCGGACAGACTGGCGAAAAATGTGAAACAGATTGCGGCCCAGCGACGAGCGGCTGGCCACGATGGAAAACGCACTCGCCAGAGATAAAAAGTCCTGGTCGAGTACATCGAAGGACTCTTGTTCCATCATCGTGAACAGTCCCAGGTTCATGGCGTACATGGCGAAATGGTGCGCGCGACTCACGCCGTACTCGCGGCGATGCAATCGCGTCAGTCCTGCAATACCTCGCGCGGCGTTCTGCGTCACTTCCCATAAATTATACCTAGTCTCCGGTGTATGTTGCTGCGGACTTTCGGGTGTATGGGGTGCATCGGACGTAGTACTCGAGACCTCTTCATCCGAAGTGCAGGTGAATAAACTGATGATCAACGTATGGTATCGCATTCTACCGAGAGGTCAGCACCATCCCGATTAAAAAAAATATATATTCCACGTACAGCATCAGAATAATATGCGGCGGCAACTTATACCGCACATCAAACGCCTCGGGCAAAAGATCATGCCAGCGACGAATCCGCTCATACAACTGCTCCCGACTGGCGCGCTTAACACCACCGAACATATTGCTGGCACGGTTATCTGCAAACATGCTCCACGAAATGTCGCGTGCGATAGTCGACAGATTGCAGGACTCATCGAAGAACTGGCTCAGATAGGATGGTCGCGGGTCCCGATGAGTTGGGTATGGTCTCCAAACGGCTTGGTCTTCGGATATGTTGCGACCGATGCGGGTCATGTTGACGTGGTCTATGAGACTGGGTCTTAAGAAGCCCGTGTGCACCATTCTGCATTCCCTGGATGTCAGTAGCTTTTCGGTTTCAGGCTTGACTTGACCTACGTGTCGACCCCGAATAGGCCCCATGCTGTCCTTCTGCGCGACACGTCCATGTCTGGCGACAATTGCTCGGATGTGAGCCTTGGGCCTTTATCACCAACCAAGCCCAAGGCTTCACCCATTCGAATGGCATCATGCAGCATTATATACCCCAGGTCATCATTCCGAGACATCGAGTATCTAGCATTCAATCAGAGATTGCCCCCATAATAGAAATAAGACGCACATACCGTTCATACATAAGAAGCGTCCCCTGCAAAGCAGCCAAGCTAGGCTGAGCCGGCATCTCCTCCTTCAACCGCTCCGCCTCAGCGAGGAAATCAACCCCCTTGGAAGAGATATCTCCCGGCACGACGTACGCTTCCGAGAACTCCGAAAAATACTGTATGCATATTATATCAAGTCAGCAGCCCCCGGAATAGAAAACGGACAGACCGGACAGACATACACAGGCATTACTCAAAACGGCATTCACCAGAAACGGCGTACAGAACTCAGACCTCAACTCCCCACGAGCCATATGGCGAATAAAAACTTCCGCATCCAAAAACGCATGAAAAGGATAATCCCACGTGAAATAAAGCGAGACAAGATGGGAGACGAGATCATTATCCTCCGTCACAGTCGTCCACGGCCTCGCAGGGACCTTGCAAGTTGCCTCATCGCAGAGGTAATGGATATCCATAACCTTTCTCCGAAAGGCCGGGCCAGCGCCTTCGACATTGATCATGCGACGCACATCCTCGAGCTTGTTGACAGTCTCCTGGCTTACTTTGTCCGACGCCAAGTCGAGGCCGTTGAGGGTTTCGTTGATATACGACCGAATCTCTTCGGGTGGTGCATTGTGGCGAATAATATCCAACAACCGCAGGGCCTGTGCCTCGTCGGCTGTGCGGATGAGTCTGAAGAGGTCATTCAGCATCTCGCGGTGGTAGGTGAGTTCGTCGGCTGTGCGCTTGGCAGCGACGCGGCGGCGCTGGTCGAGGGATTCATCGAATATGCAGACGCGGTTGAAGGCACGGCAGTTGTCGCATGGTGCTGTACCGGAGCACTATTGAGAAGAGGTTAGTGTCCAGTTTCGAAATCATGATTGTGGTGATGGTGAGAAATATCAACCTTGCGCTTGGATTTTTTGCAGGCCAGACAAGCTGTCGAGACTCGTTTCTTCCAGGTTTGTCCTGAGGGACCTTGTCCCGCGCCTCCGAGGGGACTTTCATGTTCTAAAGTCGGCGATGGCCCTGGTGCTAGTTGACGGTATAAATCGCCCATGACGAGACAGGGATATGAGCTTAAAGCGACGAGAATCTTCTAAGACAGTAGCAGTGCCGAGTATACTGATAAGAAGGAATGGGATTTCTTCAAAAGAACATCTCGGGCATGATCTGAGAATAGTTCGCCGTGTGCTATCTATCCCGGGGCAAGGTTGGTGTGTTGTATTCCCAACTCAAAGATATGGATTCAACATTCGACAGCTCAGGCCATGGTCACCATTGTTCTTTTTTTTGCCTGCCAGTTAACTGTCTAGCCCTGTCTGAGTCGAGGTTTGCCCGAGGATGACGTGCCTTGGAGTCATTAGGAACCCCAGCCCGCCTATCCAGGACAGACCGTCGTGGTTCTTGCCCGGGAAGCCAAAGATGCATAATGAGATTGGCGTCTGGTTGGCCATATTTAGAGCATTGGCGGGCACAAGCCGTACCTAGGGTAGGCAATTCATTTTCTAAAGCAGTTATTAAGTCGTCGGAGTGTGCGACAGTGATAGTGGGGGGGGGGGCGAAGAAGAAAAAGTACCCGGAGTATATTCCCGGCCACGTGTTGGCATTGAGATCAAACCCTGAGCTATTACGCGGGCAGGGTTGCATACGGGGACATGAGAGGTCTACGGCCACGAACAGGAGCATCTGAAAGACAACGCTGGATTATTGTAATGTAATACAAAAGTAATTGTTTTGCATACTCCATGGAATCTTATCCATAGCCACGAATGCACCTCCCAGATAGCAGCACAACACACACAGAACAAAGAATATTTTCTTTTCCATCTTCCTGGCAAAACCACAGCATCATAATAGTCAATCTAGTGCTCCAGGATTCTCAGGCTGCCCTGAACAACGCAGTTCTCCAGCACCGAGCCGGGGGGATGTCAATGGTGCTGCCCTCGGTGGCGACAATAATGACAGTGCCCTTGAGGGTGACGTTGCGGCCCAGGTTGACAGCACCGGTAATGGTGAGGTGGTCGAGCTCGACAATGCGAGGAATGCTGGCAATGCGCTTCTGGAAGTCGGAGACCTTCTTGAAGTCCGAGCCGAGCTTGATGACGGGGACACCACCGAAACGGTTGGGGTCCATGACGAGCTGGCCGTGCTCGAGACGGTACAGATCGGACTTGACGACCATCAGATCGGAGCAGGTCTTCACGGGCAGGAAGCGGCGGCGGGGCACGTTGACACCGTGGGCGTTCTTGAAGTGGCGGATAGCGGCACCGACAGCCGTCTCCAGCTGGTAGATGGCCTGGTCGGCCTCGCCCTTCTTGTCCGCCGGGATGGACTTCTCGTTGGCGATGATCTCCATCTCAAGCTCGTTCTCCTCGACGACACGCTTGATGGCGCGGACGTTCAGCCAGATGTTGTTGGTGTTGAAGTACTTGAACTTCTTGATAGACTTGAACTCGTTGACGTGCTCCTTGGGCACCTGGGCAATCTCGAGCAGGCGGACCTTGCCATCGTAGTCGATGATGGTACCGCCCTTGACGTCGGCCTTGGTCTTGTCCGTCAGCTCCATGATGTACTCGGACTGAGAGTCGGCCATGTGCTGCAGGATGCGGAGATCCACCACCGCACCCAGGTTGTCAGCATTCGACAGGAAGATGTACTCGATGCCGCGGGCAATCAGCTTGTCCAGCGTGCCGGAGTTGTACAGCGACTCGAACACGTCACCGTGGCCCGGCGGATACCAATCCTGCAGGGGAGCATCGAAGCTCTTAGGCGCGGGCAGCAGCGAGTCCTTGACGATACGGGGGTAGCGCGACTGGTTGAAGGTGATGATGTCGACATTGTGACCCTCGTACTTCTTGATGATGGACTGGGTGTCCTGGTCGGTGTTGAAGGAGTTCATGAGGACGAAGGGGACATTGACGTTGAAGGTGCGGTTAAGGTGCTCGATCTGACGCACGGAGAGATCCAGGAAGGACATGCCCTCACGAACCTCGATGACGGACTTGGGGCCGACGCAGCCCATGGAGGTACCCAGACCACCGTTGAGCTTCACGACGGCCAGCTTGTTCAGGAACTCAACCGAGGCTTCGGCGCCCAGGTCGTCGTACCCCACGACCTGCGAGGGCTGGGGCGGCGCGATGCGGTCCCAGTTGACGGCATTGCCCTTGGCCTTGTCATTCAGAAAGCGGCGGAACAGAGCGAAGAAGTTGTCCATCTCGGCCTCGAAGCGCTGCTTCTCATTGGGGTCGGGGACGGTGTCGGCGAGCGCATTCAGGGCATTGCGCATCTGTGAGGCGGCGACGCTGGTGGAAGCATTCTCGAATGCCTGGATGGGGGCGGAGGTGGTCAGCTTAGAGTTGTCAAGGAGTGTGGAATCTGCCATGATTGATGGACAAAATAAATAGTGAAGGAGGGACTTGAATTAAATGATGGTAGTGGGAAAAAGATGGTTCGGGGGCCAGAAGGGGGAGAGAGAGATGAAATGAGGGGCGCGTTTGGGTGTGTCAGTCAATCAAGGACAGCGCGGCCAGAGAGGTATGAAGGATCAAATGCAGGCAGGAACGACACCTTCCACGACTACTTACCATGTGCGACTGGGACTTGCCATGGTGCTTGGTCTCGAAGGAACCCGAATTCGAGGCATCACTTGCGGCGGCGCGAAGGTGAACAGGGAGTGCCTTGGCGGCCATTGTGTTTTGTGTCGGGAGTGGGTAGAGAGAGGGTGATGGTCGGAGAGAGACTGGGAGGCAAAATAAAAGGTCAGATTGGGGCGAAAGAGAGGGGACAGAGGAAACGTGTATTTAAGCAGGTAGAGGAGGGGTGCTTTGCCACAAGCCGCGACGATCAGGGAAAAAGCAAGCACCTGCAGGAGTGGGAGGGATGTCAAGGTGCCGTCATTGGCAACGGGACGGGGGCCGGGCGGTGCGGCGCAGTGCCGGTGGGTGAGTGAGACAGGGAACTTACTAGGTTGTGGCAAGGAGGAGAGCAGAGTGGAAGAGTAAGTCCAGAAGAGGAGAGAAGAGGGAAAAGAGAAAGAAAGAAAGAAGAAAGAAAGGGAGCTGTTGGTTGGTGGGGGAGGATCCCGTGATACAGCACTACTATGCCTTCATTCTCTTGTTCCTTGCCCTCCTTACTTAACACTGCGTCAGCTCAGATAACGAGATAGAGGTACTTCTAACTCTTTTTCTACAACTGCTATATGCTACTATCTAGTCGTAGGGTACTCAATTCTCCCAGTACATATTGTTATTCAATGACCCCATCCCCATCCATCCAAAATCCAGACCCAGCCAGCCCCTATCGCTCAGTGCCCGGGTTTTCTCTCGCGCATACCCACACCAGACCCACACCGCCGCCAATTCTTCACAGCCAGTGCTTGGGACATGCGTGGCACCCTGTCGGATCTTAATTAAGTTGAGTTTGGTTCCAATGGTTCAGCGGGGCTAAATATATCTCGGCTTGGTATACATTATCGCAGCCCTTCTTCCTCGTCTCCCTTTGTCCTTGCCCTTTACTCCCTTGATACCTAATATTTAATAATTCTCCCTGTCATGATCCTTCCTGCTGGTTCCTTGAAAGGAACCTCTCAGACCTACCCGCAGGAGCTACGACGTGGTTTTAAAATTCATCGTTCGGGGGCTGCTCACCTAACTTTTCTGTACTACTACCCACATCTAGGAATTAGATGTAGTATAGCAATGGGCGTTAGAGTGAGGACTCAAAATATGTGTCCAAATGGTAAGATACGATAAAAAGATATGAGACATGGAAATACTGTTTACTAGTTAGGAATGCTCATCCCACACTATGTATGTGATATAGGTCAGGTCAGACCGATAATTCCCGCCAAGTCCGACATTGGAATGGTACCACACAAGCCTTCTAATACCAACCACCGATGAGTTCCTCTGGCGTGCTCTCCGAGACCTATGTGCATGATGTAGGTAGTTATAGTTCTAACGAGAAGAATTGACCTGAAGGGAATCTTAGTCAAGGCAACATTACTGAGCCGATGTGCTATGCGAGGAGACAGTAATGAATGGAGCGACGGCACCGCTATTACTTTACATTGCACTGATAAAGCTCAAATCTGACTGTCGCGAGCGAGCAATTTGCTGAAAACCACAGCACCCCAGCCGTAAACCGGATACAAAATCAATCCGATGATGGCAATTGCGATCGTCTGTCCAATGATATTCGGGATAGTCCATGCTAGGAGTTGAAGACAATGGCATCCAGATTAAATACGAGAATCGCCAGCTTCTCTCCGACGCGACGGGCTGGGTAGGATAGAGCAAAACGATCAAGAGCGGTGTCGGCTCAGAATCCGGAGCTAACGTATCCGCATAAGCCGGGTATGAGATAGTCCAGCCCCATATTCATACCTCGGCAGTGGAATGCCAATATTTGTTATTGATGGCCTTGTTCAGATTGCTCTTCGTCGGCCCGCTGCCCCCCGTCCGGGAGGGAATGCCGCCACGTTCCTCCGGCTTGTATCCCGAGACGGGGTCTCATACAGAAACATGATATACTAAAGAAACAGTATCAAGTGAATGGGGATATGAACAGAATTAAATTACCGAAGGAAAGCCCTAGAGACGAGCTCTGGCCCCCAGCACTTCACTGAACACACTATCAAGTCGCGCGATAGCATCCGAGCTAATCTGATGGTGAAAGACGATTCTTTTCCCGTCCAATATAATCCCATGCTTTCTCCCGATCCGATTCCACCGGTCAGCTTTGACACCGGTGTGATCCAGGTCGACCCATATTTGGTTTGTTTCCACCTCGCGTAGAAGTTTCCCGCCGCGTTCCACCCATACATTTCCCACGCGATTTGCAACCTCATGCACGGAGCGTAATTTATCTCGACTTCCCCAAACACCAAGCCCGAACTGCTCCTCGATCCCAAACCGCGCTGCAGCTGCCAGTGGCCCCGACTGTCTCATTCCTCCTCCGATACTCTTCCTGATTCGGCGCAGCTGCGCAATCAACCGTGATGAGCCCAGGACCATGGCGCCCACAGGCGCCCCTAAGTTCTTACTGAAATCCAAACTCACTAAATCGCAAAGACTGCAATAGTCGTGAAGGCTCCCAGCTCTGGCTGCTACGGCTTCCCAGAGTCGAGCACCGTCAAGGTGCAACTTAATGTTGTGGTCATGAGCCCATTGGCTGATCCGCCGCATCTCCGCCAGAGGGACGATGCTGCCCCCAGTGGTGTTTTCAATGCTAATAACCCGGGTCGGGCACTTGTGAACATCGTCTGTGAGAATTGCGCGTGCCATTATATCCTCCAGTGTCATATATCTTCCATTTGTGGGCCGGACCTCCTGGACAGAAGCACCGCTCATTCCGACACTGCCGCCTTCGAAGTGAATAATATGTGCGCGTGAATCGGCCAGAACAGCGTAGGGAGGCTGGGTCAACAATGTCCGGATAGCTAATTGATTTGCCATAGTCCCAGTGATGACGAATGCACCTGATTCATGGCCACATAGAGTCGCGATATGAGCTTCGAACGAACTGGTCGTTGTGTCTTCTCGGAAGACATCGTCTCCGAGGCTGGCTGTAGCCATGGCGGCCAGCATGCCCATGGATGGAGTGGTCACCACATCGCCTGTCTATGTCAGTTGGAGTTAGGAGGCTCGTTTAACTGTCCTTACTGCGGAAATCGATCTCAGAATTGTTTGTCGTTCCCCATAATACGTTTCGACGAACTGGCTGCACCGCACTGTCTACAATGCTTTTTGAGCTCATATTTCCCCCTAAAGGTAAGAAGTCAACCTGCAGGATAGCCTTCTATGTTACAGCACTAAGGAGGTGTTCTAGTTGCTGTGGCCAACACACAATATATTAATCAGGTGGAGGACGAGCCCATAAAAGACCTAGACCAGGTTGGATAAGAATTCGACGAAGTAATTTGTTCTCTTACTCCACTTTAGGCATCCCATCACGTATATGCAGCCACTATCCCTTACAAATCTATCGTTCCTTTCTACTCTACAGAATTTTAAAACACGCCCTTTTCTCCTTATATCCGGCCGTTGCTCAATCGGCGGTTTGTTGTTTGAATCTCACATCAAGTATGCCGGGATCACAACAAGGTGGGAAGCTACCTGTAATGGTAAGCACTCGCCAGTACCTTACATGGTTTCTGTACGCGGGAATGGGTGAAATGGTACAATCTGAATTGTCATAAAGTGACTGACCCCACCGCTACGGCTGACAACTGCGTAAAGAGCTGAGAGTAGCCGGTGTAACTAGATTCTGATTGGTGCACATGTTCAAGGCGTCCTGCAGCGAGGAACTCTAAAACCAACCATCCATGAACCAGAGTGGTCAATGGATCTAGTCTGCAGAGGTCTACCTAAATGAGAAATCAATCGGCCCATTAGAAATATCGTTAGTGTTATCACACTGCAGTACCACCTTGTTTCTTGGCTCCGCATTTTGCCCCCGGAGACTACAAAATCCCTTTTGATGTTAGCCACCAAAGCTTTCCACATGATCCCCATATTCTCTCGTTTCACTTATCGCGACTGTCTTACTGAGACGATATGCAGTCTAATAAGTTACCTCTGTCGGTCAGTGAGGTAAGCAAAGAGTCAGAGACTGTCACAATTCAAGCCATAGAGAACGAGGCTGTTACTCCAGCACAGCTTTTTCGGCACGGACTAGAATTATCTCCCACTGGCTACGTACAATGGCAAAAAGACTGCAAAGATCACCCTCGCAATTGGCATTTGTGGAGGAAGACTTATGACACCAGTCTAGTCATGTTTCTGGAGTTCTATACGTGAGTCATGCTGGCTGCAGAATCATGAAGTTGCTTATTAGCTTGACTCAAAGAACAGCTATCAGCACGACAGGGGTGAGAATACCGGGCCCAGCCCCTAGTAACCGAAGTATATTGCTAACTAATTGACTAGCCCTCCGCAGCGGAGCTAGCAGAAGATGATTATGGGACAAATAGAATCACCCTGCTTATTGCATTCAGCCTCATGTAAGACAAAAAAATGCATCTCTCGGTATCCATGCCCATGATTTGAAATCCAATAGGTATCAGGTCGGTCAAGGATTAGGTGGTCTTGTAATCCCACCTTGTTCCGAGCTATTCGGCAGACGGATGCCCTATATCATATCCTGCTCTTTGTTCAGCCTATCCTGCCTTCTTGTGGGGGTGGTTCCACATATCAGTGCGGTTTTCGTCGGAAGATTCCTTTCAGGACTTGCTTCCGCCGTCCCCTCAGTTGTGATTTCCGGGACCGTTGAGGATCAATTTGATTCTGAGCATCGGGTGTGGATCGTCTTGCTCTGGAATGCAGCCGCCACTGCTGGACTTGCCTTTGGGCCGGTCTATGCGTCCTGCATTTCCGGAGTAGCCAGCTGGTAAGAAAAAAAGCAAACCCGTTCGAGCATTGAACTGACACTTAAGAAGGCGATGGATATTTTACAGTGCAGCTATTGCCACCGCTATCAACACTTCTCTTCTACTGGGCATACGAGAAAGCAGACCCAGCAAATTGCTTCGTAAGAAGATTGCTTCTCTATCAGAGGAATCGCCGGGTGCTCACCTCAAATTCCACTCTGCGGATCCCTTTCCGGATCTGGCGGCCTTTGTCGATGTCGTCTTTATCCGACCAACCCGGATGATGGTGACTGAGCCGATCCTGATAATAGTGTCGGCCTTAAGCGCCATTTCTTGGGGAATTGTATACCTCTTCTCGGAATCCATAACCAGAGCGTATCTGGATCTAGGCCTGCCTAGATCCAGTGCATCGTTCCCCCTCCTCGCCTTGATTATCGGTGTCTGCATTGGCATATTCCCGCACATATGGGATATCCGCAAAATACGAGAAAAGAAACGCCAGAACCTGAAGATCGAACCCGAAGACAAGACTATGGGATTTGCGTTCGGTACCCCGGCACTCGCCGCTGGCCTGTGGTGGTTCTACGGCACAACACCACCAGCCATGTGGAGGGCTCATTGGCTACTACCGACTGCTGGGCTTGTCCTGGTGGGTTTAGGGGTCAACGAGATCGCATATACGCTTAGCGGATATCTCACCGATACATACACAGTCTACTCTGCCTCTGCCTTCGCAGGCCTAGCCCTTGTCCGCGCCCTGGTTTCCGGGATCATGCCACTTATCGGGTATGTCATCTTTGATGGGTCGCAGACAAGGCTTCCGGGGTTCATTATTGCTGGAATAGCGACGCTGTTCTGCATTGTGCCTTTCATTTTCTTTAAGCTCGGTAAGGCGCTTCGGTATAGAAGTCAGTTTGCAAAATATAGCTTTGAGGTCCACATGCGGACGCAACTGGGGGAGCCATAGAGGTGTAGGATAAGGGGGTGGTTGCATGCTTGCACAGCTTAGATTTTTGCTCAAGTGTCACTTCTTGAGCACTCGTCGTCCCAATATCTCTTGATTTCCTTGATTCGGAGCAGCCTCAGCGGTTCCGTACCCTGGTTCATCTCATGTTGCATTAACACCATAGTAAAAGCATCATTTTTACAACTCGATATTTCAACAACATGTATCTGTTCTTTGGTAATTAGTGTGATATTATTATAAGCTATAATAAAATAGCGTAAACTAACTTGAACTTAAATCAAATTATTATATTCTCCCAAAAATTACATATCCCGAGACTCGCAAATATATATATCTGAACCACCAAACCTTAAGAATTTTTTTCAAACCTTCATAAATTTGCTAGATATAATCTAAATACCACTGGGATTTTCATATTAAGCTACTGTTGCTGAGACATTGAGTGGTAACTTATCTCACAATGATGCTTTGGAGTGGGAGGGTCGTTTGTTGAATTACGCTATGCTTTGTTGTAGTGCAGATTAATAAGAGAAATGATGTAGCTAGCAGGGCTTTCTTTGCTTTGTTGATTTTTTGTTGTTTGTGAGTGCTCAACTAGACTGGATTAGATGGGAGTATGAAGGAAAGGAGACTATGCGCATAAAATATCAATAACAATATGAACTCAATTGCATTTACATACAATACTCTTTCTATTTGCATTTTAAAAGGCAAGGCAAGCACCAAGTTAAATATAAAAAAAAAAAAAAATAAACATAAACAATTCATTGCCTTGCGCACACTTTGTCCGAAAAGAAACACAAAGCTCAGTACGCGGAATGAAGGATATCACAATCAATAACAAGTTCTCATTTTCCCTCAATTCATCCATATCCGAAGCACCTAACCCAATCCTACCCAATCAAACATCATCATTCAACAACCATCACCCATAACCAATCAACGTCAATCTTGTAATCGCTAGATCAAGCACCGCTAACGCTCCGCTTAGTCAAAAAGCTGCGTCGATTCAACTTCCCCGAAGAAGGCGAATCAGCCATCACTGAGGCCGCATCACCATTCGTAGAGTGCGAAGTAGTAGGCCGCAGACTCGCTTCGGACGCGCTAAAACTGCTCCGAATAGTCACTGTACCCTCACCAACAGAAATGGGCTTGTCCTGATCCGCGACGGAACCCTGGTCACCAACGAAGAACGACGCTTCGCCGAGGGTGTCGTCCGATCCGAAGGTTGAGTGGTCCACGACGCGGATTTTGTACGATGCATCGGCAGTTGTGCCTGGTACGCGGAATGACTCGTCGAAAGAGATGGGGCTGTCGCCGCTGGCTTTGTGGGCTTTGGTCTTGTGGACTACCTTTGCGCCCTTGGCGCCCTGGACATTGACTTGAACGCGCACGTTGGCGGAGGAGGGGAACCCGGATGCTGAGACGATGGAGATGTTCGCGGTGCCTTTTTCGCCGCTGCCTGTGCCAAGTATGCTCATTCGGTCGCCGGCTTGGGATGCTGTGCTGCGGTTGCGGGAGTGCTCCTTGGTCGGAGTGGTGTGGCCCGAGGGGGTGGGTGAGTTGCCGCCCACGAGAGCGGCAGCGGGTTTCAAGCCTCCACTGGGAGACTCCTGGGCTTCATCTTGTGTGGCCAACGATGCGTTATCGGCGTCGTTCTTGTCCTTGTGCATTTTCGACATCACACCGCGGCGCAGGAAGGATGCACCACGCAGAACGTTTCCACCGACAAGGCCAACGCCCTTAATGGGTGCGCCGATGACCTTTCCGGGCGCAGCAAACGTACCCGAAAAGGTGGAGGAGCCCTGCCGAGAGCGGACCACATAGGTGGGTTTGAAAAGGAGCTTGAGACGGATGGCGCCAGACTTGCCGTTCAGGGGCAGGGTCATCTCCTGAGCGTTGAAGGGTTCAAGCTTCTCCAGATCGATCGAGGTAGCACCCAGGAAGTCTGCCCTATCACCAAAGTCCCAGTCATAGACATCCACATGGAAATCAGCGCCAATACGAGATTTGATAGGCGTCTCGAAGAACTCGTTCCACGCCGGGTGCAGCGTTTTCTTCTGGGTCTTGGTCTTGAACACCTCCTTATCGGCCAGTCGGAACTTGCAGTAAGGGTCGCTATAGCCATTGCGGTCGGCCGAGGGCAAATCCGCAGCATCGAGGACCTCCACGCGCAGAGTTCCCATGTTATTGATACTTTCTTTCGGATCGAGTTTCATCTGTGCAGGAATGTACCGTGCACTGACAGTGACTTTGCTAATCTCGCCCTCCGGTGAACGAAGAGTAAGCTCGGTAGGCGTGTATAGAATACGCTGCAGGGTAGGCAGCGTGTCACCCGTTAGCTTGGCGACGGTGTGCTCATCGCTGTTCTCCTTGGTATCGCCCTGGTCCACGAGACGCAGCGTGATCTTGGAAAATTCAAGCTCACGCACAAAGGCATCGCCAACTACAAGTCATGGTCAGCACGTTGCCCCTCCGGATATAAAGGAGGTACATACTATCTTCGAACTTGTGTGTCGTAGAGCGAATCTTGGGCGAGGTGTAGGCCGGAAACATATAGTCGTCCATTAAAACCTCGAGATGCACATTGCTGTGTGCGAGCTTGCCCTCGTGGAATTGGAAGACAATGAATCCAGACTCTGTATCTCCGTTAATATCTGATCAAACCAGACCCCTAAAAGATACATACCGTATTTAGCGAGGTCCTCCGCACTGACGTAAGTCCTGGGAATGCTTTTGACCGAGCGAATAGAACCACCTTCGGAGTCGCGAGTGGTCGGTCGAGAGGCGCTAGTTTCAAGACTGGCACGGCCGTTGGTGGTGGGCGAAGTAGGTTCCTTTCCGTTGAGAGCAGCGCCATTGGAAAATGCCGTGGAGGCCTTGGAAACCCTCGAGTCGACGCTGGCAGACTTGGAATGCATGCTCTTGCGCGGTGCGCCATCAGCAGCCTGCTCTTCTGTCTCATCCTCCTGTTCAACCTCTTCCTCCGGGTTCACAACCGGGATGGTGGGGTAGAAGGCAACAGTATAGTTGAGTGTGCCCTTGACGGGGCCATTGCCAATGCGAAGTCCAGCGCTGAGAGGCGCCTTCTCATCATCGATTTCGTATTCGCCGGCTTCGTTTTCACGCACAAAGTCGGCGGCCTTGATATCTGCACTGCCGAGAGTCCTGTCTTTGTTGATGGATTCCTCGTCCATTACCTCCAAGGTGAGCTTCTCGCGGGCGCTGCGAATGGGAACGTAGACTACCTCGTCCCACTCGGGATCCAGATTGCTACGGAAAGTCACGGTGCGACCACGGGGAACACCCGACAGCAACACACGGGTATAAGGGTCGGACCTGCCCATCGCCTCCAAATTCCGTAGGTTGTGGGCACTCTTGAAGTGGAAACGCATGACGCCAATTGGGTCGATGTAGCCGGCGGTACCAGCAATGCCGGTGAGAGCGACGGGTTTCCACTGCATCATCAACTTGACACGGCCGCCCTTGACTCCGTGCAGATGGAACCATTGCTGGCCGCGCTCCATCATCTTCATCATATCGTTCATCTTGATCTGATACCGGCCAATGATCGGATCGGCCATAAGGTCGCGATCATCCTTGATGATCACGCCCAAACGAGCAGCCTTGCGGTCCGTCACGATGAACTCCTTGGCATTATTCTGGAAGATGGGGTTGTTGGTACGCTTCAATTTGGTGGTCGTGTGGATCTCCTTGCCATTCAAGAGCAGCACAGCGTACGGGTTGAGTTTGCCGATCATATTCTTTCCATCGAGGTCCTTGGCCTGCTCGACGGTGAACTGGGCAATACCGGTATTCAGCTCCGGGGAGGGGTAACGGCTCGCCAGTGTCTGATGTTGCCGCCTCGATAACAGGGAAGAAGCGGATGTCGCAATGGATCGCACCACGGTGGCGGCCGCTGGAAAGCACCTCCAGGTAGAGACCCTCTTGCGTGGGCTCTTCTTCCAGTTTGTCCAAGGCAAAAGTCGCTGTTCCAAGTTCCTTGTCTTTGCGAAACTCGTTCCAGTCGTACGGCACAATGCTCAAGGCATCGGTAAAAGAAGTGATGATCACGTAAATGGTCTCGTTCCAGCGGGGGCTGTCATTCTCGTGGACAGTCTTGGTTCGACCCAGCTCCGTGCGGTTGTTCAGCGAGACCACGGCGTATGGATCCGGAGTACCAGAGAACTTGTCTGGGTTCTTCAGCTGCTGGGCGCCGTGCAGCGTAACCGCCACCACACCAATGGCCTGGTCGACGGGGTTACCTGCCAGCATCTTCGCAATCTCAATGGGGAAGACGTTCGGGTCGTACATCATCGGCTGCAGGTTGGCGTGAATCTGGTCCTTGATGAAGGACTCCAGACCAGGAATGAAATTGATGTCGAATCCGAGAGTGTCGCCTCCAAGAGGCTTGCAGACGTAGTCAATGTCTGGCTTGTCCAAGAAACAGACATCGACGCGCTCAATGTGAGGGAAGGGAATCTGCAGCTTGACCTTGACGCGCATCAAGCCCGAGCATGCCATGTCCTCGACAATGACATCAAGGCCCTTGCTGACGACACCTCTGCCAACACGCACTTCCAAGACAATCTTGGGGTTGATCTTGTTCTTCAGCTGGCGCTCTGTCAGGTCCATGGTATCATTGGGCGTGAAGCTGAACTTCCAGTCCATGATGACGGTGTCTGATTCGGTCTTTGGGTATGTCTTGACGTGCTCGAGACGCGGCGGCTTGTTACCAAGAATGAAGGTCTTCAGACGCAGACTGTCCAGGAACGCAGGGCACGATGTGCTCAGAACCTGATCGACAGAATTGATGATCGTGTCACAGATCACGGGGGCATAGATGGGCCAGAATTTAACCAGGAAGCTGTTGATCCACTCGAGACTCTCGGTGTCGGTCTCGAGACGCTGCTTGGCCATCTCACGGTGGACATCATCACGAAAGTTGCGGCGGACCCGGCGAATCGACGTGCGGTAGTAAGTGCTGCACGCGGCCATGACGAAGAGCACCCAGCCGAGACCTCCGCCGAGGGCAGCGATCAGCCACGAAATCAAGCAGGCGAACACGATAATCCCAGCATTGTGGTACCAATCTGTGGAGCATATCTGTCAGCACCCCAGCGACAAACAAGTTGGGTGTGTACAAACCTCCAAAGAACTTGTCAGACAGTCTGCCCTCTAGGAAAGTCTGATGATCAAGCAAGGTGCCCTCCTCATCCTCACCGGCCAGCTTATCGGCGATGAATGTGGGCGCCCATCCGGTGCGATTGCGCGCCCAGCGAAGATCCTCATCCATATCCTTTCCGCCCTTCTTCTCCTTGAGTGTAGCATCCTCGGCCATGATCGCATTGGCTGATTGCGGGGGCGGGAGGTCATAGTCCGCCACGCCATCATTCTGAAATAGATTAATTAATTACTGCAAGCACCATTGAGCCTAGAAACACCCACCTTGTCGGTAATGACAGCCATCCCCTTAGGCTTCTTGTCACGGTGGAAATCACGCGGCATGCGCTGCCCACGTCAGTCACTCCGTCGCCGATTGCACAATTCGTTTAGGAAGAGAACTCACCGACCCAGCCGCCTCGGCCTTATCCTCAGGCGAAGCATTGGGGTCGAATTGATAGGCTGGGACACCAGCCTTACGAGTCTCGTCGACAAGCTTCTCCTCAACCGTATCTGGGTTGACTTTGGACTGGGGATCCTGCTGGAGTTCCTGGGCAGTCTCGATGACGCCTTCCTCCTTCATCTCCGTGTTCTCCGCGGCGGCGGACGCCATCTCGGCGATCGGTCGGGTGTCTCGAATGCAAGGGTGGAAATTGGCAAGCGACCGTACAATCTGGCGCTAGCTGGGGTGGGAGAGAAAATGTTAATGGGTGAGTTGAGTTGAGTTGTGTTGGAGAAGAGAATGAAAGGTGCGGGGAGAGCAAGCTGGGGTCAGGGCTGTTCCGGATCCGGGGATTGGGAATTGGGGAAGTGGGAGTGGGAGTGGACAGTGTGAGTGGGTTGACGTACGGGTGTGTGGGATGGCAGGGATGGGAGGGAGATAGTGAGGCAAGAGTTGCACACACAGGAGAGGGGAGGGAGGGAGAGTGTGAAAGTGAGTGAGAGGGAGAAGAAAGAGTGAGAGAGAGCGAAAGTAGTGAGGGAGAAACTAACACTCCCGATCGACGAATAGGGTGGGACTTACCAGCCGCTTGCGTCAAGAAGGAAAGGGCTGTGTGGCTGGTACCTCCACGGGTAACGGTGGTAAGTATTTCACAGCAGGAGAAAAAGGAGATCGTACTCCGTAGTAAGCTTGCTAGTGGATCGAAGATCGTGACGTCCTCATTCTAGCTAGGACCCGATCGGCGGATCCTCGGGTTCCTGGGAGCCTATGATCATAATGGTTCTGGTGGGGAGGAGAGGGACTTAGCAGCACTAGTAGATTGGCATTGCATAGTCCGCCCAGCACCGCCACAGAATTATTAATACGTATCGATTAAACTAACTAACTATTTCAGGAAGTCCGTTAGGTTGGTCAACTAGTTACGTAGTTGGTGAAGCTGAAAGCGGAGCCAGCCAGCCCTACGTGTCGAACAAGTTAGGCAGACAGATTCACTAGCGCATCCCCCAGGGAGGCACTAATTCTACCCCTTTTCTCGATGAAAAGGAGGGCCATTCTTGTAAACAAATCAAATACCCTCAATTCGTACTGAGTATTCGAGTTGGTTGTACACGTGGCATGCAGACCAGGCGGCACTACTGCACTGAGTACATGTGAAGCACATGCAGAATACGATCTATCATCTATTGGAACTGGAGGGGTGTTGGGCCGTATTCAAAATGCAATTCGTCAAGATTGATAATAAGTAATGATACCTAGTAGTGTGGGAGAGATTCAAGAATGAAAGCGCTACTTCAGAATCTACCGCCCCAAACGGATGACGCCCGCCGCCATCAACTTTTGGATCTTCATCCGCACCTGTGCGTTCTTCATATGCTCCTGCAGCGCGGCCGGGTCGCTCTTCGCTTGCTGGAGAATGCTCTGCATCACCGGGTCCTGGAGGATGGCCATGATCTGCGCAGGTTAGCGCCGTGGCTGGGGTTTGGTGGGAGATATGAAAACTCACCTCGGGATCGTTCTGAATACGCTCCATGGTCTGCTGCTCCGTCTCGCCCGCCCGCGCGCTGAACTGCGCGTCCAGGCACTTCTGCTGCTGCTGCTCGATCTCACGCGCATGCGTACCGTCGTCGACCTCCGCCGCTTCGGTGAACACATCCAGCGCGCGGTTGTACTCCTTCATCGCGACCAGCGCCTGGCCCTTGCGCATATACGCACGGATGAACTTGGGGTCGCGGCTGATGGCCTCGTCGCAGTCCTGGACAGCCCCGGGGAAGGCCATCAGCTTGATGAGCGCGGCGGCGCGGTTCGAGTACCCCCGCGGGTCGGCGGGGGCGCGCTTGGTCATCTCCGTGAAGGCATCCACGGCACCGGGCCAGTCGCCCTCCTGGAACTTCTGCTGGCCGAGCTCGCGGGCCTTCTCGGCTTCGGCGGGGTCCATGTAGGCGTCCTTCTCGGCCTTGATCTTGGTCTTTTCGGCATTCCGCAGCTTGGTCAGAGTATCGGGGGTCCGGTGCTCCATGAGTGACTTGTTGTAGAATTCAATGGCCTGCGTGAGGTCACCCATCTTCTCGTAGGCAGTTCCGATTCGGGCATATGCTTTGGCCATCAGCTTGAAGTCGGCCCTGAGGTCCCGGCCTTCCTCGACGGCTTTTTGGCAGGTCTCAATGGTGCCCTGGTAGTCGCCCTTCTCGAACTTGGCGGCACCCATATTGTTCAGATATGTGATGTCCTTGTGCAATTCCCAGGCCTTGTTGTAGTGCTCAATGGCCTCATCCAGCTGCTTCTTCTTGTAGAAATCGTTGCCGATCTGCTTCTCGGCGTCACCAGCCTCCTTGGCCTTCTTCTTGGCAATCGCCTCCTCATCCTCCGGTTCGGGCTCGGGCGTGGGCTCCTTGGGCTTCTGCTGAGAGGTGCTGGGCTGAGCATCCGGCATGGGCTGATCCCCAGATGAATCACCACCTGGTGGCGCACCGAAGTTCATATCGATGCCGAGCAGCACACTCATCACTTGCAGGAAGCGCGGGTCACGGATCTCCTCGCCCACGCTGTTGGGGTTCTCTTGGATCTTCTTCAGCTTCGCCATGAACTCCGGGTCGCTGAGCAGGCTGGCGGTCTTGGGGTTGCTGGCTAGTTTCTGGAGCATGCCGGGGTCATTGAACATGCCACCAAGACCACCCAGCGGGTCTCCCGAGACCCCGTCAGCCGTAGCCTCCGCATTGATAGCCCGCTGGACCGCACTCAGACCGGACTTGGCCTGTTCGTTGCCCGGTTCAAGCTTCAGGGCCTCCTCGTAGGCGTCGTGGGCGGCCACTACCAATCGGATATATTAGTTATTGGACAGCAATCCAAGAAATACCAACTTACAAAGATCCCCCAAACCGCGGTAGGCAGCTCCCTTGCGGAGCTGGCCCTTGGACCAATCCGGTTTGATGCTAATGGCCTTCTCGGCGTCATCGAGAGCCTTTTGGTATTCGGCCTGTGCAGAGTAAACGGCGGAGCGGTTGGAGTAGAGGATGTGGTTCTCGGGCTCGACAGCGATGGCCTGGGTGAACTTGTCACTGTTCTCATATCAGCACCCTCGATCCATCCAACGCGGGGTACAATAACACCTACATGGCAGTAGGATAGTCCTTGGCGGCGAAGGCCTTGTTGCCTTCGGCCTTGAGAGCGTCGGCCATGATGAACAATCAAAATGGTCAGGAGTCCAAGGGGAGAAAGAGTTGTCAGGAAGGAGAGAGGGGAGCAGTGCAGGAAGGATGGATGGCTGGTCGAGCTTCTCGAAATTTCCGGAACATCATGGCTGCCTCAGGCAGTGGTACACCTCAGGCATCGAGAGCTCAAACGCCGCACTAAACCCGGTCGGGCCAAGACGATTCGTCTCCCCGCTGCAAAAAAAAAAAGGCGAGTCACAAACACATCATTTTCCTCGACTCATCCACCAAGCCGCCATGCTCCTGTAACGATTTTGTTTTATTCTGTCCGGTCGAACATGACAGCTCGCCCTCCAATCAGTCTGTCCCCCTAGTTGATCTGTCGCTGCTATCCGCCATGACCTCTGCCGGGGCTCGCGTCCCCGAGCTGGCCGCGAAGCTCTACGATGCGTGCCTGACACATTTCGAGGCCGACCGCATGTTCTTCCAGGAGGATTTGCTCAGCCTGGGTGTGATCCCGGCGAACGACCTGGCGCTGCTGGTGCAATGCGCCCAATCGCTGGTGGATCAGAAATTGATGCGCCTGCTGCAAACCAAGACTGAGCGTCTGGCATGGAAGATTATTCCCCGGGAAGATGCAGAGAAGTATGGTCTTGATTTCTTCGGTGCCATTTCCTTTTCCTAACGTTGCCTTCTCGCTAGACTCCAAAACCTCAACCCCGACGAAAGCTTGGTCTACAATGTCATCCACTCCAACGGCCGGTCTGGCGTCTGGGTCCGAGCCATCCAGACCCGCACAGGTCTGCACAAGTCCATCCTGGACCGCTGTGTTAAATCTCTCGAAGGGAAAAACTACATCAAGAGCGTCCACAATGTCAAATACCCCAGCCGGAAGATGTACATGCTGGCCGGCCTGGCCCCCAGCGAGGATGTCACCGGCGGCGCATGGTTCACCGACGGAGTCATGGACGTTGACTTCATCAACAGCGTCGCGGGATACATTGAATACACCGTGAGCCGTAAGAGCTGGTACGAAGTGCCGAGCTCAGACCACGGCCGCAACAAGCGCCTCAAGACCGCCACAGGAAAATCAGACATCAAAGAGGAAAAACAATATCTTCCCTTCGCAGCCAGATACGAAGGCTACCCAACCGTGGAGATGATCACATCCGCCGTCAACGAGAGCGGAATCACACCCGTGACACTCCGCGAAGAGAGCATCGTACAATTGCTTGAAATGCTATGCTACGACAAAAAGCTCGTCGCTCTGAACAACGGCCAATACTACAAAGCTATCAAAAATCCCGAAGCCGTAAAGGCCAGCCAGGCCCGCAAACCCACTGCCGTGAACGACAGGGCCGACGCCGAGGCCACAAAACACCTCCCTAAAAACGGTATGACCGAAGTCCCCTGCGGCCAGTGCCCGGTTTTCAACCTTTGTGCCCCTGGGGGTGCCGTGAGTCCGGAGACATGCGAGTATTTTGACCCTTGGCTGTCAAACAGTCTTGGGTTTTGAACCACGAAATGAAAATGGCTGGCTTGGGGAAAGAGCTAGAGCTGCCCCAAAAAATCTTGCTAACCTGTCCCTATCCCATACCACACCTTTTGCATATAGGGGATGAGGGAAAAGAAACCTCTAAAATCGGACAGGTTGCGTGTGCATAGCGAAGGCGTTTTTTCGTGTTTGAATCTTGTCGATTGGCATCTTGATGTTTGATATTCTAGGTAGTGTCTGGTCTTCGCTCGTTGCGGGTGGATGGGCATGCCTCCTGCAAGTGGACTATGACATAGGTCTGGTTCATTTTTAGCAAATGGAATAAACAGATCCAGCTATTCTTACTTGCGACAGCCATATCATTTCATCTGGGACCGTCCATTCGCAGGAGTCTTGCGTCTACTCACCATATTGAGAGGATGAAACTGCATCGAAAGCAATAATTGGAGACCAAAACATAGGCATAGGAGAGAGAGGTAGTGGTCATTAATGTACTGTAGATAATTCTCTATTCTTTACTATATTTTATCCACCCTTCTTCCTAACCACCGCATCGAATTACCCGACCCGCATGGCAGAGCCGATCAAAGTTTGAGTGGGGCTGCGCTGTCGTATTCGTGATTTTATCTCCTTCTGGGTTTCCGAGGTGCCTTGTGGATCCAGTCCTAGTCTTGACTTCCAGGCCCGCTCCCCATCCGTTGTCTTGAATGGTGCCTCTCGGCACCTACATGATCAGGGTGACTCTGGTCAGCTATCCTCGAAAAGATACTGCTGAAAGATATGGCGACTCGCCGCTCCCACCAAAAATCACGCCATGGGTGCAGCACATGTAAGAGGAGAAAAGTTAAGGTATGAGGACGCCAACCTCTCTGAAACAATGCCTGATTTGAGGATTTCATAATCCTATAAAATCTCACATACTAAGCTCTTTCATAGTGTGACGAGCAACGCCCTACTTGCAACAATTGTAGCCAGCGGCAGGACACATGCGTCTACAGTGCCCCAGTGCCATTCTTCTTTGCAGGACAGTCAGGAAGATCATCCAGCAAGGAATCACACACGAAGATTTCTTCAACTGAAGGACACAGCTCCGATGGCTCGACCCGTGCGGCCGACCATGGCATATCTTGCCCCGAAGTAACGAGAGGCTCATCTTCATTGAATATGGAGCAGCTAGAGCTTCAACTACATTGGATAATGCATACACACAAACTATTTGCCCGAAATGAAGAGACAAGAAAAGTATGGGAGATTTTAGTGCTTCAAGAAGCACTGCGCGCTCCATTCCTAATGCACGGTATTCTGGCATTGTCCGCCCTTCATCTATCACATCTGCACCAGGATGGGCGGCAAACAGCGTGGCTTGACATAGCTATAGCACACAAGAGCACTGCACTGTCCATGTTCTCGGATCAGCTCCACAATATCAGTGAATCGAATGCAAAAGCAATGGTGAGCTTTGCCAGCCTAGCTGTGGCATTCAGTTTCGCAAGCGCTCTAAATTGTCATGACCCAGCAGATGGTCCAAGTCTCAGGGCCTTGATAGACGTTTTTACTTTGGCTCGTGGTGTGCAGACAGTTGTCAATGGGGCCACCGAGTTTCTTCGACAGAGCAATTATGCGCCGCTCTTCAACATCACCGTTCCCGAGGTGAACATTCCTGACCATGTTCTCGCGGCATTTGATCGCCTCGACAATTTGAATAACCAGTGCAGTCAGCAATCATCCACTCATAATAAAACGCCATATGAGCGAGCCATCACAAATCTGCGGGAGCTTGTTGTATTCACCTATGCAGAGCCCAATTCGTTGACAATGGCTGCGGGGTGGGCCATTCGGGCCCCGGTAGATTATCTTAGTGGCCTGAAGAATTACGAGCCTCTTGCGTTGGTGGTGCTAGCCCACTACTGCGCCTTCCTGCATCTCGCTCGAGAGAACTGGTGTGCTGGGACCTGGGGCCGTTCAGTCCTGGAGGAAATTGTGCAGACATTGGATCCGAATTGGCAATGCCATATTGATTGGGCTATCAAACAAGTTACGGAATGAGTATTTTCAGAGGCACTCATCCAACTCGGTGCTCTGAATACTGAACATGAAGATTATATTCCGTGAACAAGATGTGTATGCTAAATCTAAAACAAAATGACCATAGATTCACTAGGACTCGACCCCCCAATTGACTCATGCAGAACTGATTAATTAAACACCCTCCATCCTATCCATCTCTAGCGCGGAACCAGGGACAAACTTGCGCATCCGAACAATTTGCTCAGAATATTTGTCGCCGCGACCCAGCAAGCAATTAACCTCGCTAGGGTGCGTGTACTGGAGAACAAGCATCGTCACAAACATCAACAGGGCATCGAAGACATAGATGAAGACCTCGTTCTTCATCAAATAGCCATCGTAGCCCTGCATGTATTCCACCACACGGACCACCGAACGGACCAGAATCAAGATACTAGAGACGTATAGGGCCATCATATGCCGGTGCCAGAGGTTATTCAGCTCGATCGAACGAGCAGTAGGAACTTTGGAGATACGGGCCTGGAACACCACAGCACTGATCGTGAAAAAGCCAAAGAAGATGATCTGTACAAAGAGACCGCCGACAATGATGTGTTCGCCAGTACCTGGATTTGTTGAATTTTGAACCATGAGTCCCGCACCTTGGAGCTAATTAGCGTCATATTGCGCAGTGCCGAAGATATTGAATTTTCCCTCAGCTCAGTAAAAGAACATACCTGAGGCTTGCATCAGGAAGGACAAAACGTCTCCAGTCACGAAGATCTTGGTCAACCATTTAAGCTTGATAAGGGAGCACTTCTCAGCATCGATCATAAAAATGATGCGCCCAAGAGTCATATAGATACTCGCTGCCAGGAAAGCTGGAGCGATCAGGATCAACGCGCTTTGGATGACATAGGGTCCTTGGGTGAAATCAGGCGCCTCGTGGGATGACAGTAAGCGTCCGACGTAACCGACTGTCTCAACTGGTAGGAGGCAATAAATGGTTAGACTTCCACATAGAGCTCAAATGAGGAGACAAGTTGACAGACTTACGTATGCCTCCAATCACGAAGGGAATCATGAACCATGTTCGTGTCCGAACGAGTTGGTACAAATGCATGAGACTACTCAGACCGAAAAGGGCAGTAAATATGCCCGCCGCAGCGCTGGACGGGTCATAGTAGTAAAATGTCCAGGCCATTGAGAGTGAGATGAGTAAGTTTTCTTCTGTGCGTCTGTCCAAAATTGAAATGAGGGAAGAAGCAAAGCCTAGGCGTATTGTGGGAGTGTTTCAATTGAGTAGATAGGCGAGTAGGGTGCTTTTATAACCAAACCAAAGCCTTGCTTAGCAACCACTTTAGAGAAATTTGCCCGCAGAGAGAATTCAAATTTCGTAGATGCCTATCTAAGGGGTTAGGTACATATGCCCTGCCCCTTAAGCTTATTTTGCTTCGTACTCGTGTTGTGCTCTACTATTGGAAAAGCCTATGTGGGGCGTCGCACTATTTTCAACTACAGCTCGCGTTCGTAACTTTGTCCATATCCGGAACGTCTCGTTTCCCGGTTTACCACTTGCAGTTTTTCCGGGTATAGCTTTCTTCCCTCAAGGATATCAATCTAGAAAAAGATTGCGTTTTACCTAATAAGTGGCTTTAAAGGCTACTGGAAAAACCGTGGCCTACCCAACCACACTTGGTAGGAACTAGAAAGTGGAGCGTCGCAGGGCATGCTAATGCGTGGTTTATAATTGTCGTGCTTCGTATTTATCACCCGTTCAAGTTGACCGAAAGAAAGGCTTCTGCCTAGAAGTTAAAAGCTCGCTTTACCCACCAATAACTATTCAAGGTATGGTGGTTTCAAATATTGACTTGGGGATTTTCGGCTGGAAGGTTGTTCATAACCACTTCGTTGTCACGGCACTCAACAATTTTTTTTTTTTTTTTTGTTTTCCCGAAGAACTTGATATTATTCATTCTACCTCTGCTATAAATTGTTATTTGAAAACTTTCACTCCTCTATTTCAACTTTATTTCGCCATGACTTACAAACTTTACAACTACAACCCATCTGGGGCAGCAGCAGTACCCTTCGCCGCTCTCTTCGGGCTGGCAACTGTCATTCATTTTGTAAAAATGATCCGCACCCGGTCCTGGTACTTGATTCCGTTCACAATCGGTGGCGTCTGTATGTATTATCCCAAATTTTGAATAAAAAAGGTTGCTAACTTTTCTATCGCTTCGATTTAGTTGAAGCAATTGGCTATGTGTGCAGATATATCAATACGACCGAAACACCCAATTGGAAGACCTTGCCGTACGTCGGACAGAGTCTTCTGATCCTTCTTGCCCCTGCACTTTTTGCCGCCTCTATATACATGATACTCAGACGCCTTATTATCTCCCTAAATGCAAGCTCAGACTCGCTTAATCGACCATCCTCGTTAACCGAAGAACTTGTGAGACTTGGCTTTTTGTATCGATGCCGAGCCACTTACCACAGGATGAAAACCAATAGAACAACGCGATGGCGACCCTCAGAGCTCAACTGCTTCTGCTGTGCGAGGTGGAATTGCTATGGTTGTAATGACCATCCCTTGAAACTTAGGCGAACCTGTGGTATTGGCCATCATTTTGGTCGTCCGTCTCCTAGGAGACTTTCCACAATTTCAATCCCACTATAGCTTACATCGGCTTCTCACTCTACTGTAGGGGACGCGTTCTTAGGTGACGGGTCATTTCAACTGAAGCTTTCTACACAACGCCGAGAGCTCCTTCGTCTTCTTCTCAAGAAGCGACCCTTCGAATGTGTTCAGTATGCACTCCCCTTTAGAACGATGTTCTGCATCAACCCGGTGAACCCTTCGCCCACCCGAGTCAGCGGCGCCTCGACGGCAATGGGCGCCCACTCGAAGTACTCTCCATAGTTGCCAATCTTCGTCAAAAACTCCATTGTCTTCGCCTCAGACCCCTTTCCGACCGTCAACCTCGTGGTATTGCCTTCGCCCACCAGACTAACGTCGGTCCAGGTGTTCAATGGCAGGCTGTAATTGAGCGAATATGGGTTTCCACCGCTGATCAAGGTAGCATTCGAGATAGTGCCGTTACCATTCACAAATATCGAGTCAGGACCCTCGAATAGAGTACCTGGCATCTGCGACGTAGGCTTCACCCGAAATGAGAGCGTATAGTCGCGTCCTTTGCTGCCTAGCGGTGTCTCCAAGTAGCAACCATCCGCGAGATGGAGACTCTTGTCTGCGATCTTACACCCATGGACCCTGCCGTGATACTCATTACCCGAGTGATCAGTGACAGTCGAGTCCGAACTACCGTCGAATATATACTGCAAGATCGTATCGGACTCGCTAGGAATGCTGCGATCTAGGTTCTGTGCGGGTACCACGGCGTGCAGCGCGTCGAAGACGGAGTGGTACTCTTCCTCCGTGATGTTGCCGCCCCATTGCTTGTCTGCTAGGGCAGGAAGCGCATTGCGCCAGGAGTAGTAGGCCTGCAGCACAGTAGTGGAGTTAGGCCCATAGTCGTTCCACAGCGCGGCCACTTGGCCAAGAACGTGCTTGTTGTTACGAGGGGGGTTATCGCCGATAGATGAGCTGTCCATGATCACCGGAGAATAACCCGAGCCGTATGGTCCCTGGAAGATCCTGGAAAGCTCTAATTCCTGCGGGTAGGATGCAGACCAGCCGCCGACGAGGTAGAGGTAATTGTCCGAGTTGAGCACGTTGTATCCGTTCTGGATGTAGTCCCAGTACGGGTGGTCGTCATAGTTTGCCCAGTGTTGGTAGGAGATGGATTTTGAAACGTTCGCACCTTCCTTCGGGGTAAATGTTCCCCAGATGCGCATCGACTTGCGACCGCCCGTCTCATGCATGATAAATGTGTTCATGTCGTTCACGAATTGAGTGTAGTCTGCCACCAGACTGCTGTTGTATTCATCCGCGCCGATATGGACCACCTTGCTGTGGAACCAGGGCAGGAAGGTCTTCCAGATAGTCTTCACTGTTGGGAGAGTGTCTGGATGGCTAAGGTTGAGCATACTTAGGTCCTCGAGTCCCAGCTCAGGTTTCCATTGCACGATAACGAGCGCGTGGCCGGGTGTCTCGATCTCGGGGATGATGGTCACGCCGCGCTTAGCGCATTGGGTCTGGATGTGGTCGAATTGCTCGCGGGTGTAAGACTCGTTTTGCCGGCGATTGAGACCAGCTACGGCCGGGTCTTCGGACCAGAGACGGAATGCGGCGTACAGTTCCAGCGAGCGCTCCCGGGAATACTCTTTCACGTTGTTATTGAGGTTGTCACTCAGATGGACGTGAAAGGTATTCTGCTTGAAGAACGAGAGGTACGAGCACATCTCGACCAGGAAATCCGCAGGATAGAAGTGGCGGCCGGCATCAAGCTGTCAAAGCATTAGACCGATACCAGAGGTATCCAATCAGTGAGAATGGACGTACAAAGACACCGCGGGTGCCCCATCCAGGTGCATCAGCGCCGGCACCCTTGGCAAGAACCGAGTCACCATTCACGGCGGCTTGAATCATGGAACGCGTCGCCCACCAAGCACCCAGGGGGCTGGCTCCTGTCACGATAATCCCGTGGTCATCGACCCTGAGATCATATCCCTCCGAAGTCCATCGGCCTGCGGCATCCCGAAAACTGGTGCTATTTCCCAAGGTCACGAAGACGGTATTTTCTCTCCGCTGTGTGCCGCTCACAAGCTGGAGATCCAGGCCCAAGGATGTTTTAAGGTCCTCTTGGAAGGTCTCCACGAATTCCGACAGAGTTGGCGGGATCAAGGTCTGTCCATGATGATCCACCTCATTGGCATATCCAGAGTCGATGATAATATGTGTGAGTTTGGAGAGATCATAAGTGCCTCCTGTTTTCGTAAAGGGTGTAGTCGGAACCGTCACCAGCCCAGCATAACCTAGAAAAGTGTCAGTGGCCAATCCATCTGGAAGACATTCTGGACTGTGATTTTAACGATACCTCTCAGCCATGTCAAGGCACTCGCAGTGCAAAAAAGAAATCGACGTAACTGCATAACGTCTCGCAGAATCCCTAACAAGCAACAGTCGCTTCAATCGTCACATTGACCTGGACTTGTTTTACCACCTCGCCGATCGGGATATTTATGTTCGGAGAAATCGATCGTGCGGAGAAGCGCCCACCTATGTAACCTAGCTATCACTTTATACATAGAGTCACATTGCTCCGAGACGACCTTGCGGTACAACGTGAGGGGAAAGAGAAAGGCGAGCGATCGACGCGCGTTGCAGCGCGGTCGCTGCGACTATTGTCGGCTCGTAGGCCAACCAGATGGGTAGTGAATTATCCGGGGAACTGAACATTAGCTTAGATGATAGCGAGGTCTTCCGTTATTTCTTTTTGAATGTCAACCATGAATTAATGATGAGCGGTTGGAACTTGACACTAATACCCAGGCATCAACGTCTGTTCGATTACGTTATTATTTGTACTCAAATCGGAGCCATACTGGGCCCGACCCCGACTTGGGGACGAGCATTTGCTCCACTAACTACCTGAAGATTTAATAAATACAAAATCTACCAAAAGCAGGTAAATGTCGTCTAACGCATGGGTTCACGGTTTAGGGGAGTTTCTTGTTCACAAAGGTAGCAGTCCTATCGCCGTGCCGTTCCCCTAACGAGGTACTTGACGTGAGGTTTGCGAAGTCCCTTCCTTTTGCCGGTGGTGCACCTGTCATTATTATTCTCCATATTTGTTTTGCCCATAGTAAAATGACAAAAAATCTTCCTCACTCTCACAAGCTTCAAAAGAATACTAACATATCCTAATGGGTAAAGAAAAGGCAAAAATATGGACTCACGGGGATTTGAACCCCGGACCTCTCCCATGCGAAGGGAAAATCATACCCCTAGACCATAAGCCCGTGATATTTTACATTTGGGGCTTATTAAGTATGTGTAACCAGCATAGAAAGTCTCAATGTGAGATTTTTTACCAGAAATAAGTAGCGAGAATCTAAATTCTCTATACGCAGTGATATACCTTCCAATGCTCGTGTCGCATTGAGTCTGCGAGAGGCCCCGAGTTCGATTCCCGAAAGAAGTTCTTTTATAGAAGCACGTAGCAATTACTCATACGTTGAACTTGTAACTATCTACCTAGATCAGAGGACAATCGTGAGGCAGTATAATTCAAGTGGGCGTGTATTGGCACCAATCCCTAGTAGGGTATTACACCACAACGCTAGGTGACGGTAAATCGGGCGCCAGTTGTTCTTTTGCGATCATTGATGCAGACTGATAACTTCCATTATCTAAACCAGAGAAGCATGGAGTCCTGACCCTTCAATGTGGACGATGTTGCTACTTAGACTCATAAGGAGCATTGAAAGACAGACACGTGTTGGGATGTCCATGCATCAAAGCACCGATTTAATGCAAAATTGTCTAGCTTTCTTTTTTTTTTTTTTTTTTTTTTTTTTTGAGGAATAGACAGAACATGCAATTATTGAAAGATCCGCTATAGCATCTGACGTAGCAGCTGGAAGCAGTTGCTGGCCGATGAAAGGACCCATTAATAACGATGAAACATAATCTGGAAGAAGCGAACGATTTCTTGCCAAACTTTCACGGATAAGAGGCGCGCTGACACTAGTACTGTTCTGGGCAGTCCAAGCGACATGAATAATTTCTAGGTAGGCGCCCTCCGCCTTGCTTACTGTGTGCGAATCACCCCTTCTTTAGATCTAATAAAGCACCTGAGTGAGTTGCTAGATAAGCCATCAAGCGGGGCCCTAAGTTACACTAGGTACCCTAGATGTCGACGAGGTTGAGATCGAGCACGCAATTCTCTGGAAACCAAAATATATTCATGAAAGGGGACTGACCATGGTCACACATCACCCTCGGTACTTTCAAGAACCCTGCTATCAGCCAATCACCTTCTATTGCCATGGTAAACCGTTCCGAAACGGATTCAAAACACCCGCGGAGCGATGCAGTCCCCGCAGCATTCGCAGGGCCCAACACGCGACTGGTCCCGTCGGGCATCGACGAGAGTGACTTCGTGACAGTCAGGGAAGATCAAGATCTCCGAAGAGGTCTGCATCAGCGACATATCGGTCTTATTGCCATCGCAGGAGCTATCGTAAGAACGGAGTACTTTACCCTCGCTCGTAGTTGTCCGACTCACAGCCGCACAGGGTACGGGACTCTTCCTAGGTCTAGGAGGTTCAATCCAGACAGCTGGACCACTGGGCGCATTACTCGGTTACGCAACCATCGGCATTATCGTCTGCGCAGTGCAATTTGCATTGGGTGAGGTGACAGCCTTACTCCCCGTTACTGGCAGTTTCGTGCGACACGCTGAGGTGCTCGTTGACCCAGCCCTGGGATTTGCCATTGGGTGAGCTGCGTGTTCCAGGAGTGGCCCCCAAGGTCTCACTGACTCTATCCGACAGCTACAACTTGGTATACGGCAACTGTCTTTCCATCCCGACAGAAATCACTGCGATATGCGTCCTTTTCCAGTATTGGACCGACATCAACTCCTCGCTCTGGATAATGATATTCATCGTGTTGACTGTCATTGTCGGTCTATCATTCATCGGAATCTATGGTGAAGTTGAATTCTGGTTTGCCCTACTAAAGGTCGTCTTCATCATTTTCCTCATCCTTCTCGGTTTGGTCATTGACCTGGGTGGAGTTCCTGGCACTCCTCGAATTGGATTCCGATACTGGAATAATCCTGGACCATTCGTCGAGTATGTCGCGAGCGGGAGCTGGGGACGCTTCCTGGCTTATTGGGCGGTGATGAGCAATGCAGTCTTCAGCTTCGCTGGTGTCGAAAGCATTGCCATGGCTGCAGCTGAGACTCGCAACCCTAGAGTTGCCGTGCCGAATGCCTGCAAGAGGGTATTTATCCGAGTCGCGACATTCTACGTTCTTGCTGTCCTCATTGTTGGCATGCTCGTTCCAAGTGATGACCGTCGGCTCGATAATGAATCAGGAACAGCAGCACAGAGTCCGTTCGTCATTGCTGCAAGCGCAGCAGGCCTACACGGTGTGCCATCAATTGTCAACGCCATTGTAATTACATCAGCTTGGTCATCCTCAAATCAGGCCTTACTTGCCGGTACACGAGTCCTATACGGTCTTGCATTGAAGAAGCAAGCGCCTGCTATCTTCCTTAGGACAACTCGTTGGGGTGCACCATATGTCTGCGTGCTCTTCTTTTCGGCGTTCATGTTCCTCTCGTTTATGAGCCTGTCAGATGGCGCATTGACAGTTTTTTGGTGGCTGGTCGACCTAACCGCGTGTGCTGTGCTGATATCTTGGATCACGGTTCTGCTGAATCACTGGAGGCTCCTTCGTGCGATGAGGGAGCAAGAGCTGTCTTTGGCACTTCTTCCGTGGCATAGCAGATTTACCGGTACGTAAGCTGCCATTACCCTATCAAGCATGCACTGACAACAATTGGTAACAGAATATTCGACGCCGGCGGCACTAGTCATGTGCATTATCATTCTCCTGACCGCTGGGTTTCCCGTTTTCACCAAGGGCAACTGGTCCGCCAGCAGCTTCGTATCATCGTACTTGTAAGTTTGGTCCGCGCCTATCAGCAAAGGAGTATGTTCCTGACAGCAATTGGTCGCAGAGATATCCCCATCGTTATCGCCGCCTACGTAGCATGGAAGCTATATAAACGTACAAAAATGGTCAAATTGTGCGAGATACCACTGAAAGAAGCCCTGGAACGTGCAGCCGGTGATGTGGAGGCTGAAAAAGAGCATCCTCTATGGAGAAGGTTGATCGGTTTTCTCTGGGACTAGATGGTACAAAGGCCAATCAGTGGTATTGGAGTTTATCAGTATTTGCAATCCACGAGTTATCTAGGCAATTGCGAGAGCAGATGGCCAAAGCCAATAAATCTGGTAATTGCTTCCGGGGTGAAATGACGAACTGAGATATCAAGAGCTCCACCGGACGTCTGGTGAGCCTGAGTGACCGGACTGGAATTCTGACGGCGGGGAGAAGTAGTAGAGGACATTCCGGTTCCTGTGTGGAGATATCTAATTCTTGATGTTTCTCTCAAAACAGGGACAAATTTACCCTTATCGCTCTGCATCGAAGGCTTCTTCGTAGTCCTACGTTTGGTTAAGGCCATGGTGTTGAAGAGGTGTAGAGGTGTAGAGGGAAGAGAAAGAGGGGAGGGGTGAAGAACAAAGAAGGGAAGAAGAAAGCTCGCAAGTAGTTGCCAAGGCGTAGGAGAAGGTAAGTCTCTCAGGCAGGGCTGTCAGTTATTGAAAGCATAGAAGTACGGAAACGCGTTTGCTCTCTGTAGGTTTAGAGTTTGGGTGTTTGGGGTAGGCTGCTGCGCCAGCTTAAATTTGATATGCGCACGAAAAATGGCCACTACGATCTTCCACCTCGCAACATCCCTGCGCCGCGATCCAGTCTTTTCCTCGCTGAGAGGGCGCGGCTCACAAGAGAACGCCCCTGTCCACTGCCAAGTCGAAGGAACGTTTCGCACATGGTCCCTCCCGTCGTCGGCAAGAAGCCCAAACCTCGGGAGTTTATGGAGTATGTGTCCAAAGACAATCTGGAAGGAGGTCATGGATGTGCACAGATTGCGCCGCAGCGGACAGACCGAGTTTATACCTGGATACAAATTCCGCTCTCTCTCTCTCTCACGCTTGCCATAACGAACTGGCCCCCTTCGAACGAGCTTGATTTCAGGGCTACACCATTCGAGATTGCATTTCTACTTTGGGTAACGTACGTGCTAAGTTCAACGGTCGAGGCCATCTATGTTCCGGAGCCGTGGGCCTACTCGTGCCCTATGGAAAACGACTTCAGTACGACTCACAGAGCCTCCCGCTGCTGCCCGTCTTCGTGACATATACAACCCGGACGGTCAACTAGGGATTCAGGGCGAGCAGAGAAGAGAACGAAGGACCAGAAGACAGAACAAAGCATCGGCATTGCGGAACTAGTTCCCGATGTATCCAGACAGGGGGCTAGGGACAGATGGCAATTCAGTTGTACACCCCCCATTGTTTTCTGTTTGAGTTGGTCATCCGCGTCAAAAACTAGCGTGTATGGGATACGCGATCTTGGGACAAAACGGGACGGTCCACCGACGCTTCCTCTCGAACTACCGTGTTGTGCGCCATTAAACCGCCCAGTTTCCGCGGACGATTTCCTCGCGGATTTGGATCGCTTGGGCGCTTCACCCTCCCGGCCAACAGCGGAGGATTCTAGAAATCAAATCCCTTGCCCAAATCGACCGAGATTTAACAGCAGCAGACATCGCGGAACGGATCAGGAGAGAAACCAATATCAAACGGGATTCGTCCGGGACGGACGAGCCAGCGCACGTGGATAGTAACGGCTTGAATACCCAACAGCATTGCCGTCGTGATTTCGAGGCAGAATGGGGTTTGGGCTCCAACGTCCCACCGAACAAATCATTCATCGCTACGCTCCTGTATTTGATCATGATTGAGCACTTATCGGCTACGGCTCTATCCATTCTCGGATGACCGCAGAGCATGTCTGGCGTCAGACTATTCCATTTCGGGAGTCGGAAAGTGCGACCAAGTTCATTTGGAACACTGCCATCTCTGATCTTTCTCATCTCTCCTATTTCTCTTTATTCTTTCCATGGCTTCAACTCCCAGACAGAAACGCGCTCTTCCGCAACTGAAAGCGGAACTTGAGGAGGTTGTTACCGCCCGAGGAGCCGTTTACCGACACAAATACGCCACCATCTTTTATTTCGAGGACGATGACACCGAGGACGATGCAAAGTCCCTGGCCAACTGCCTTCAACATGTTTTTGATGTTACCGTCAACGTGCTCAAACTGGCCACGGATGATAGCACTCCAGACTGGAATGTGAGAGTTGTCATAAACCAAACCATCGACAAGATTGGGCCCTCTGGAAACGACACTGCATCCCTTCTGATCATTGCCTACATTGGGCATGGTTCGTTTGACAACGGAACGGGAGTTTTGGAACTTACATCTACGGACGGAAAGCAAAGCATCCAATGGGATCCCATTCATCGCTTGTTCTTCCGTGAGGACGATATCTTCTGCCACATTGACACCCTGGGATTCTTAGATTGCTGCTATGCATCGGCAACCAGGAGCAAGATAACACGTAGCAAGATCACTCGAACATGCCAAATTCTTGCTGCCTGCGGTCGAAATGAAGTGGCTCGGTTGCGCACGACTGGCATAAGCTTTACCCAGCGTCTTATCAGCGCTGCACGCGGTCTTCAGAGGAAGAATATGCCACTCACAACTGTTGCCGATTTGCTCGAGGAAGTGCAACATCTGAAGCCCCGCGGAGCTCCAAATGCAAGATTTCATCACATAGGAGGTATTAGACCGATAGCTTTGCCATTCAAGAAGGACTCGGCCTCGTCCATCAGCACACAGGTTGGGCTCCAGCGGCTTAGTCTGTCACACTTAAACCGCCTGCAAAATGTCCTTGTGGAACTTACACTTGATGGCCAGCCTAAGCAAATCTCTGAGCAGTTCAAGGGCGTTCTAGCATCCTTACCTTCAGGGTTTCAGGTCAACATTGTCGACGCCTACGAAACCGATGCTTCAGCTCTGTTTCTCCTTCGCATGTCCTGGTTTACCTGGGCCAGACTGTCGGCCATGGTTGATTTCCGGTTTGTTGGTGTCATCATCGGATCGTCTTTGATCCATTCTGGTACGAACTTATGACTTTGACTGGTCGAATTTAGCATATGTTAATTATCTTTAGTTGCAACACCTCCGCGCGTTTCTGTCAGGTAACTCGGAGAAGCAGCCAGTGGACTTCCTCGCTAGATATCTGGTGCTTTACTATACTCCGTTTCAATTCCTCTGAAAAGATAAGCCGAGACGATCTGATTTTTATTGGGGAAATGAGAATTCTCCCTGGTAGCTGTTTCCGACCAAAGCGAACAAGGACATACACAAAAACATGACAAAAACATACGGCGGCTGAAATTCGGGTTACTCGCCCAGCTACTAAATGGCCGGCATGTGGCTCATGTGCAGTAGTCGGGTGTATATCTGACATGGTTATGAAATGCCGCTTGAATCAACAGCCCCAGAAACTCTAGCGTATGCGGCCGCATCTTGCCTGCTTCGTGAAATATTCTTTCTATAACGCGCAACTTGCTTTGAATACCATCGTTAACCCAAGTTCCCTGCAAGGCTTGCAGAGTTTACAATCTTCCCTGTCTCATCGCTTGCCACTCGCCATCCTGCCGACCCTTCCCCTTAAGTTGCTGCAGCCAATTCTCAAAAGTCTTCGCCACCATGAACCTGATCATCTGCAGATCGAACAAAAAATACTTAGACAGCCTTCACGTGTTATCCAAAACAAAAGCTTGCCAAGCACAATAGCTTATTAAGAAGACATGTTTAGAGATCTGTATTTACGTTGGTGAATGATTTTAACTGTCCCTTTCGCAATAGAGAGACAATTACTAGCTGTCGGTGCCGAAACAGAAAAAGAAAAAGTCTTCATATTTGGAACAGAGCATTAGTGCTTATTGAGCCGCAAAGACAGCGTATAGTGACCTTCTCCTTTATCCACGCCTCCATTTCCGGAGTAGATTCGCAAAATTAGCTTTCAGATCATTCCCTACTACGAACGATGATCATGTATCATATGTCGATTATACGAGATACCCTACGCAGCGTCACACTCACTAAACCTAAAAAACTTTGTTGGTTCAACTATCTTCGTGGCGATTTACATTCGATTGATATTATACTATATTTATCTAACGGATGGCCTGACTATGGAGGGCCGAGACCTGGTTGATCTGCGTAGATGGACACCAAACGAAGATACGAGCTTTGATGAAACATCCGCACATCGTGATCTGCAAGACAGCATGCAGATCACAACGTCCCTCCAAATACGAATCATTCATTCTGAGGTCGTAAGCATGCATCGATTGGCAGCTGTAAACCGATGGCCTGTTCAAGTTCTATACCCTAAGCCAAGGTCCCTGAGATATCTCGGAACGAGGCCACAAACATGGCAGTTGATAGCCGAGTGAGATCTAAGGAAACTCTGCGCAGGATGTCACAAAAGAGCTGTTAGTCTTCATTGTTCATTCCCTTTTTTGCTTTTAACGGTAAATGAAAACCAAAGTTCTGAGGCTCGCTGCGCTCAGTAAACGTAAACCCCCAAATCTATTCATTTCCATGACACGAATATCTTGGAGAAAACTCCTCTAGGCCCTACTCAACTCGTATAGTCCGACATTGACTCGAAACGCTCATGATGTCATCCTTCTATCTTGTAAATGGCCGCCGCATACGAGCTATCTGGTTTTTCCGCCCCCATTCGCTTCCAGGCAGATACAGCAGGCTTGCCACCTGATATTTGCCCCCAGCCATGTGAGATTCCCTTGATGTCTTCCTCATAACGACACCTAATAACTGTTAGCGTTCAATAGCCATGCAGGGATGAAACAGACGGCAAGTTTATGCTATTCTCGATTGAAAAATGCAGAGATAAAGGAGCTTGCCTGTACTCCGTACGTATGTGAATAATATCGGGTCTAAGAATACTACCAGATCTCAACACCAGCGCATCAGTGGTGATTGTCCTGTAATCCCAGATAAGAGCCTTGAGATCAGTTCAGCTGATGGAGTTGGTCCTAGTCCTAAAAGAACCTAATGAAGCAGAGCGATGTGAAGATCGCGCAATGTGTGGAGGGCAGTTCTTCGAGACCCAGCGAGTTAATCGTATTCCAGAGGGCTATGTCGCCATGATGGGGCGATAATGATGCTGTTCATTCATTCAGATGCAACATTATCATTCAAAAAGTCTTTCAAAGGTTGTGATTAGCAGAGCACAACCTCGTATTCCCAGGGTATGCGCCCAGAAGGTTTGAGACTGACTGAATACGGGAGACAAATGTTTCAAGTGCCTACCGTCATGACATCAATGCCATTTTCAATAATCTCGAGGCTGCGACAAAATGGATAGGGTCTGGGGAATGGCTCTCTTGGGATTTACATATAAAATCGGCCTCATCCTCTCGTCTCAACTAATTCAAACAAGAAATCTGGTGATCAATAAATCCTAAGGCCAGTACCTCCATCTACAGGCACTAATTTCCAGTCTTAATCAGTTCGTCACTACCAATCCTCTTTCAAAATGCGTTTCTTTGCTATACTTCCTGCTCTCCTCTCCCTGGCTGCGGCTGTACCCCCTCACAACATCGTTCCCCCTCACAAAACCATCGCCCGCCACCCCATCGCGGATGTCAAAGCCAGCGCTGCCCGCGCTTTGGTTCAACTTGAGGCCTCTGGTTGCGACTGGCTCGGTACGCATCACCCTACCCGATACATAATTGCTTGTTTGCATATTGACATGAGAGAAATAGCGTGTGTGTCTGCGCTTGCTACTCTTACTACTACCTGTGCAGCTGCCGCTGCCGAGGATGCTATTAGTAAGTAACAGATGAATGGGAGTCCAAAATTCAAGGCTGACTCTGCCAGACCCTATTGCCGATGCAGCATGCTTGGCATCTGTTGGGACAAACTTGAGCACCGTTGTAAGTCTCTTCTTAGTATGCTGCGAGCCTAAATATTAACGATGGACAGTCTGCTTGCTATAGTTGCGTGGATCCAGCCCCAACGCCAGTGAGTAATCTTGCTTCTGAAAGTTGGTGACAATTGTGGATATAAAACTGACTTGATTTGAGTGAACAAATCTACTTAGATACTCGGCGTCAACAGTTGTCTCTACTATTATTAGGCAGCTATCCTGGGCGGTTCCTGTTACAGAGTTGTCAAGTTCTTTTTGTGTGATTTTTTGCCTTGATGTAGGTTTTTCTCTAGCTTAGTTTTCCCTACATCGTTTTGTGAATGCGGAGGCATCTTATCTTCATTTCGGGGATTGACGGGACCGAGCTCTCTAAGTGGTCGACATATTGCTGAAATTGGGGGAATGTAGCTAGCCATTCTGTAGCCTGATGGAGAAATTGTCCAAGATCGAAGTTCTTCCACAGAGCAGCCCAACAACGTTTTAGATCCCAGAGAATTTCAGTAGAAGATACTGGTTGTGATCAATCTTAGACTCCGAGAGCAACCTAGCTCGCTGGTGAATCGAGTGCGTCGAGGTTCGGAGCTTTTTGGCTTGCCGGTCATATTCGATCGAATTTCTCTTAGTAGTTGCTTTTAGTTAGACACCTGCACATCCGCTCCGCATATTGCAGATTTGTAGATGCTTCTTCAACAACCCAACCGCAACAACCCAACCCACCCGACGTATCCATATGCTCACGATAGATCCGCCCCACAGTTTGAGCCAAGAATGCCTCCGCATTGAATTTAGTGACTCCGATCTGTTGACTGAGGTCGCAGTCTGACCACAGCTTCGAAGTTCGGATTGCTGATTCCCGCTGTACAGACAGGGTAACTAGATGGCGTAACAGTCCAGTTTTCACAAAGTTGTACTCCCGAGTGCATGACAACTTCAGATCCTGAGCAAATCGACTGGATTTGTGAGCATTGCGTCGCAGCTTGGTTTGACTCAGCAGTGGACCAGCACGTTCTCTTGGGAGTCACGTCCTCTCAGTGGAGTTTTTGCCTTGGGAACGCAGTTGAAAAGTTTGGGGACCTGTGCCATGTTGAATCTTCCATCAAATGAATTGCCTTGGAAATGAGCCCGTTCGAAGGGGGCCAGTTCGATAGGGTAGGCTGGAGGGAATAGCGGATGGTGTATCCAGTTTTAGACTCGGTCCGTTCGCTGCGGCACAATACGCGCAGAGCTCTCACAGGGCATACCGGGAATACAATCGTGGCAAAATTTGCGACGCAGGATATATCCAGTTGCAGTACACATGCAAAAGCTTTCTGGTACTCGTTGAAATCTTGTTGGCCCGAAGACCACAGTCGACATGGTAGCGTCCGAGTGCGTACATGGTGGTGGTTGGGAAGAGTGTGACGTTGGAATAGTCGGAGGGTAACTGGATGCGAGGCCAGGATGAAGGAACGAGGAAGAAGTGAATAAATAGAGAAAACTGTACGGGTATGGCAGGCAGAAAGGATACGTCGAGCCAAATCCAGCCTAGAATATATACCTAGTGCAAACAAAGAAAATACTCTTGCACGTAGAAAGGTGGCCTGCCTGTCTGGACAATTACAAGAGGACTGATTGTTGCATGTAGGCAAGTGCCTGCGCATAGAGAGTCGAATGTACATTCTTTTAGGACTCACATTGAATATGAGATACGAACGCCCTGGGTATATGCGAAAACAAAAGGACGACAAAACAAATTACTTCCCCAGCGTCCTCCTGCATTCATCACAATACCACGTCCCTACAGGTTCACGGGTCAAGCCGACGCATTTCCAGTGGAACCACTCATACGGACAATCGTCGTTGTCGCAAGCGACCATATCACCATGGCTGACCGTCCGACAGGTACAGTACACTTTGCTATCCTCATTCCCTTCATCCTCATCCTCCTCTTCGTCATCATCAACATCATCGCCCTGGGCATCGCTCTTCTCCGAGTCATCCGTGTCCGCGCTGCTAAGCATGGAGTCGTCGTCCTCGTCGCCATCGCCAGCGGGCGATTTCTTCGAGATCTTGACGCGGCCACTGGCGCTGGAGGAGCGCTTGGTCGGCTTGCCGTTTGCGCTCTTGAGTTTCTTGACTTGTTGGTGCGGCGCGATCTTCTTCGTCATTGCTTTCTTGGGTCCGCCCATCGTGCGTGGGCCCGCGCTGCCTGCTCGGCTGGAGGCCGGTGTGCCGGCTTTGGGTGTGCCGGGGCCAAGGGAGGACTGACGCAGGTTCGAAGAAGCCGCTGGCACGGCTCCGAATGATGTGTTCAGTCGGCGCCGCTTGTGATCCACTGCTCCCGCGGAGGATTCTCGCTGCCGCTGCAGCGCGTGAACGCCCGTGGTGCCGGTGGGAGTTGCAGGCGCGGAGCTGCGAGCTGTGGCTTGTGCTGCTAGTACGGCAGCTGCGTTGCCAGGACGAGGGACGCTGGCCTGGTGTAGTCTCTGTGCAGCAGCCAGAATCGGGTTGGCGTTTCCAGAGGTCGGGTTAAGAGGCGTGGAAGAGTAGGCAGGCGAATCTGCGGAAGGGGTAGAGTCTGGGAAGAAGACTTTCGGGGGGTCTTTGTATTGGTTCTTGTTGTCGAAGAGCGAGGGGATGGGAGGGTCGTTGGTGAGAATGCCATCGTTGATCAAGTCGCGGATGCGCACATCGAGTCTCTTGATCTGCCGATCGAGAAGCACGCAGGCCTTATCGCTCAGCTGGATCTTCTCGTCTTGGAGCTGCTGGCACTGGTCCAAATTCTGGAGAATGGTCTTTCCGTACTGTTCCTCTTTGGGATTCGGGGCGAGACTGCCGTTCAACTTGACGAATTTCTGGATGCTGCTGTCGCGCGAGTTGATTGTGGCGCGGCACTCCTGCATGACTTTATCCTTGGCTTGGATTTCTTCCATCAGGTGGTTGATCTCCGCTGGGAGGTTTGCGACATCGTGGACGAAGTGCTCGAGGACCGTCGCGCAGTCCTCTGCTCCGTGCGCCATGTTGGGTGGGATCGATCAGACCAACAGTCTGCCGAGTGTGATGATAATGTACTCCTGTACACCCCTGATGAGCGTAAGAAGCACCTCTGATGGAAAGGCGTCGACGGTGGATGGATGAAGGACAGTCGCAAGATCAAGGGCGAGAATCACGGCCGATCAGATGCTGACTCAGAGCATAGTCATGTGACATTCCAGGATCACCGCGCGACTCAAACCCGTGCTTCTTGCGCTGAATTATCTTCAGGAAGGAATCTGAACCTCTGACTCTAGCTGCTTAGAAAGGTATAAGCCTGTTCCTTTCCATCGCCTCGTCGTTATTGGCGAGTCAACTGCCACCCACTTCTTTATAGAACGAGTGCAAACGGTGCAAACACCGGTATCGCTCTCCCCGCGCTAAGATAGAAAGAAGATTGTTGCGTCAAACTCCGAGACCACGCAATTCCGCTCCTGGTGCTTCCGGCTGACCTTCTCGGTGTCTACCTCGGTGTGCGCTTGCTCTGATTGACCTCTCAACCTGTAGACCGGATCATCCGGTCAGGCATTCCAACAAAATGGGCCAGGAAGCGACCACTCCGTTGCCGGAGGGCATCTTCTCCCTTCTGGACACCGATCTCTACAAACTGACGATGCAATGCGCGATCCTCAAGTACTTTCCTGATGTTTGTGAGTGGTCATGTGAGACCTGGATGAGCTTGTTTCTAATATTCTCAATCTAGATGTGACTTACGGCTTCACAAACCGCACCCCGGACATGAAGCTGCGTCGCGGAGCGTACAAATGGCTTCTGGAACAGATGGACAGTACGTGCCCCTTGAGACTCCATTGAAAGTACCTCACTGACTGTCTACGCCTCCAGAACTCGCCAATATCTGTGTCACCGCCGAAGAGCGCGCCTTCCTCAAGAACAAATGCCCGTACTTCAATGACGCCTACATCACCTTCCTGGAGACATTCAGGCTCAAACCCTCCGAGCAGATCGAGATCAAGTTTACGCCTGTCCATGACACCGGCAGTGACGATGACGAAGGTCTCGTGGAGTACATCATCAAGGGACTCTGGCTCGACACCATCCTGTACGAGATCCCGCTATTGGCGCTGACCAGCCAGGCATATTTTATGTTCAGCGACACCGACTGGGACTACGAGCTTCAGGAGGAGAAGGCATACCGTAAAGGCTGCGCGCTGCTGGAGAACGGGTGCATCTTTTCGGAGTTTGGATCGCGTCGTCGCCGGGACTACCATACCCACGACTTGGTCATGACTGGGTTGTGTCGAGCTGCAGAGGAGGGTAAACGGCGAGGGTGGAAAGGCGTTTTGTCCGGGACAAGCAATGTGCACTTTGCGATGAAGTACAACACCAATGCTGTGGGGACTGTGGCGCATGAGTGGTACATGGGCATTGCCGCTATCACGGATGACTATAAAAACGCCAACGAGCTGGCTTTGCGGTACTGGCTTGGATGTTTCGGAGAAGGGGTAAGTTCTGTGCGAGTGTGCATTCTAACGGCTGCTAATGACAATGACAGGTCCTCGGAATTGCGCTCACCGACACATTCGGCACGCCGGCCTTCCTCGACGCTTTCCGCAAGCCCATCCCCGAGTATACCAGCGCAGGCGTAGGGCTAGTTAGCACTACAGCCTCCGGCGCCGCAACCACCGTGGAATCGACAGTACAGAGCGAGTCGACCGTCAACTCCCCTATTGCCGCACCGATCCACAACGGCGGCAGTCACCCAACCAGGACGTATGCACAGGTCTACGATGGCATTCGACAAGACTCAGGCGACCCAGCGTACTTCGTCAAAATGGTGCGACAATTTTATGAGGGCGAGGGGATTACGTCACCCAAGACGGTGGTCTTCTCGGACTCCCTGACGATCGACCTGTGCCTGGAGTACAAGACCATTGCCGAGGAAGCAAACTTCAAGCCCGTGTTTGGTGTGGGCACTTTCTTTACCAGTAATTTCCTCTCTCGGCTTCTGCTTGAGAACCGTTACTGACTTTTGGTTACTAGATGATTTCACCAACAAATCCAACGGCAAGAAATCCAAACCGCTCAATATCGTCATCAAGATCGCCACAGCGAACGGTCGTCCAGCTGTCAAGCTGAGTGATAACATGGGCAAGAACACGGGTGACCGTGAAACAGTCCAGAAGGTGAAGAAGCAGCTCGGTTACGTGGAGCAAGAGTGGGAGGAGGGCGATGAGAGTAATCGCTGGGCGCGACACACATAGCCATCTACAATGTGCTTCAGGAAGGCATGGATGGAAACGAACGTGTTCCCAGGACGCCATCTCCAACATCCTCGAACGCCTGTGTATCATCAATTCCAGGGCATTCAAATGTACCTGGGCATCAAACAAAAAAGGTCTCCACAGCGCCATCTCCAACATCTTTGAAACCCTGTGAGACCAGGGTCAATGTACTTTTTTGCGGTTTGATCATTTAGCAAGTTGGTCTAGAAGGGGCAGACAGAACGGAAAGGACAGGCCAGACGGCCAGGGGAAGATATGATATCCTTCTATAGAATAGAATGTGGTTGCTGCCAATGGTGCGTACATACAGTTCTCTAAAATTAAGATACAAGTAATGAGAACACCAACACGGTAAAAGTATCACACCTGGAATCCGACCTCCAATTTTTTGTCCAGAGGCATAATCCTGATCCTGATACTGATCTCAGGTACAAATATACTTTGTTAGGATGCAAACCCCAGAAAATCTTTAACTTAATGAAGGATTCCGGATACAAAATGACAGAACCTCGCTTAGTGAACAAGAGCCGCAACAGATTATTCTGCCAAGGTCTGCGTTTTACACTAGATGCCAGTAAGTCTGGAAACAGTCCGTGATTATGTAAAATCCACCTATTTTACCAGATACTTTCAAATATATATATCTAAGCACATAATAGACATTTTATCTCCAAACTCCATAAATTAATTAATTATTTCTCTCTCTATCTATTGCACCCCTAATATCTAGTATAATACCCATTTGCACGCTTTACAGCTGCAATTCGCCTAGGCACTGACCGAATTAGGTTATCAATCGTCCCCTGATCTAAAGCATCCCATGCCTCACACATACAATCTTTAAAGAACTCCCAATCAGCCTCTGATTGACCCATATTAACTAATTCAGGATGTAGTTCAAAGATCTTTAATTTTAAAAGTCTCCAAACGGGCTCAATTGGGTTCAAATCAGGAGAGTGCGGAGGCCATTCCATTACCTCAATACCATGTATTTCAAACCACTCTCGCGCAACGTATGATTTATGAATCTTTGCATTATCTTGTTGAAAGATAGTACCGGGTTCATAGTGCTTAATAAGTCCCTCTTCGAGTGCATTCACATATGATTTCGTAGTATATCCGTTGCGAGGCGAGTCGGCGTCCCGCTCCATAATAATCAAGTTCGTACGGCCACCAATCTAAATTCCGGCCCAAACCATTTGTGAAATATCCTTTACATGAGGCTTAATATTCACAAGATCACGTCGGTATGCTTCAGACCAGAATCTAAAGACCCATCGGTCGGTAGAATTAGTTGAACGTTGAACTGAGCATTCATCTGAAAAGATAATATTTGGTAATACCCTATATCTCCCCCAAATTCGGGCGAATCGCTTCCGTTTTCGAGCAGTATCATAGTTTAAAGGTATCCGCTTGCGTGATTTGTATTTCTTAAGGTCGTATTGCCTTAGAATCTTGCGAATAGTCTCACGACACGGATTTCCGGGTACGTTTGCAGAGAGGAGCCTATAGCTCCACCACGGGTTCCGACGAGCGAGATGAAAGACATATCTGCAATCAGATTGGGTAAAGACTTTAGGGCGACCAGTACGAGGGCAAGATTTAACGTCTGCGCGCTGTTGGAATCGATAGCGTGTTTTGTAGATTGTGCTGCGAGAAACGCCTAAATCAGATGCGATTTTGGTAGGCGATTGCCCTAGTTCAAGGGCATACAAAATTGCAGAGCGCGTTGGGCCACATAGTTCAGCATTTGGCCTTCGATTTCCACTTATTTCAGTCCCAAACCGACGCATGGTTGTTGAGTAAATAAAAATATAAAGTAGGGGACGCGTCGTATACGCGCTAAAATTTGGGGCGGTGTTTCCAGACTAAATTGACGCGTTGGTGTAACATTTTTTGGCCCTGAGATGCAGACTATTCAGCTCTATAAAAGGGAGATAAGAGACCGTAGGGATTAGTACTGTACCCCACTTCCCAAGCTAGCCTGCCCCTCTCAGCCTCATGAATTATTCTACCTAATAATCCATTCTGCCTAATGAAAAGAAAATATATATTGCTTTCATTCTTTCTTTCGATGATAGTCAACTACCCTAATTGAGAGAGATATGGACCCCCCGATACAATCCGACGAGCCAGTGCGTCGACGATTCCACTTGCGAAGTTACAACCTGCCTTACCAACTCTTCGAAGCTCCCGACTCCACCCCCAGAAATCCAGAGTCGACGAACTTGTTCGGAGTTTACACGACTAGCCGTCAATCCACAACCACAAAGCTTATTTTTCAATCTTCCGGCAAAAATCAAAATGCAGGTCTACGGGAAGCTGTTCGGACACCGGCGCGTGCATATTGACTATGCATTTTGTCAGCCATCACACTGGAATCAACAGAAAAGCAAACCCAACGAGGAGTGGCAATGGTGGCATGAAGTGTGTAGAGATTTCGATGCGTTTCGTGAAGATAAAGAGACGTGTGAGTGCCCGAGTGCAGCATATTTCTGGCACAGATCTAGTAGCTATTGGGAAGGATTGACTGCTGCGGGGTGGGAAAAAGAAAGAAAAATGCCCGGAGGAGCGTGGTTAAGGAGTTGTCAGCTAGCGTAAGTTAAGATGGCCTACCTGCTGTATCTACTATGTTCAGCTAACAAACGAATGAAGATACGAAGAAGCTATACCGATCCTCTACGGTACGAACGTTTTTGTTATGGGAGAACAAATGGATACCCACTTCCGCATGTCGAGGATCCTGCCCTTTAGTAGCCTCCACCTCATCACGGCCTTGAACATCTCACTCAGCATTCACGTTGGTCACGATCGCGTGATGAAACTCGATGAAGAGTGGAAGGACGTTTATCCAGCATTCGTTCGCGTACTTCAAGATAAATTCACAGCCATGCAAAATCTCCGCGCTGTCATTTACCTGGATGGGTTTCGTAAACGGTGGAGTATGCCCGCTCAAGAAGGAGATCAAATCATATGTCCATGGGAGGCTCTTGCGGCTAGTCGTGAGTGGAAACTCTTAGATCTGCAGTTTCCATGGGGCCAGATCAACTTCTTCGAGCCTAGAGCGAATGCCCAGGAAAGGTATCCCGACTGAAGGAACAGCTCGACTATCAGGTTGTGTTCGGTTGAGAGTAGGCCAGTGCGAGTACCTTTTTTGGACAAATTACAAAAAGAAAAAAACGTATTTAGCTATCTGCCAGGATGTCTCGTCTCTCAAAGCCGAAGCTAACTATCAAAAATGGTAGGATAAAAGGCATATTCATGCTGATGGTATCAGTTCCCAAAACGGCATTGGAGGTCAAATACTCCGACCAGAACTCGATATGCAGTGGAGTCCTTGCTTTCCCATTTACTTTGAGCCAATCTTATGTTGCTAATCGGTTAGCTTCGTAAGCATATGGTTAAAGTCCTGGACGTTAGTCTCCGTTCGAAGGGCGGTCGGTCCCGCACAGGTTCCATTATTTTTTGCAGCCTCCCACTCTATTACTCAACCATATCCAGGTGATTGTCCCTGCAGTTGCTTCTAGGGCCAACTCTGGCTTTGTCCTCCCTCCAGCGCTTGCTGGGTACACGGCACATGAGGCAACGATGTATTGTGGTGGAGTACAAAGTTGCTAAGTCTCTAGGAAAGGGAAACGTATTACATCCTAATGCTTAAGTGACAGTGAATTAGACACCGAAATCGGCTACATGTACCCTATTTTAAGGACTCTTTTTACCAGAGTCTTCATCATTAGTTAAACACGACTTCACTAATTAGTAGATCTATCGGCCAAAGTACTTCAGCTCCAAGTACCTTGCCGGTAGATAACTCAAAGCCGTCACCACAAACGTAAACTCATTGGCAACATCACCACCGTAGTCTCCGATCAATTTAGCAAGAGGGCCGACGAACCAAGTCTCATCCATCCCCAAACACCACGCCACAACCCCGAGAGCAAATGACACCGCTGCGCCAATACCCAGCGGCAGCCTGGCCGGGTCGTTCCACCCTTCCAAGTCATAGTTGTCAAAGTTGCCCTTGCGAAAGATGAAGTGTTCCTCGAATAGAATCACGGCGTAACTCGTGCACCAGTATCCCAGCAAGCTCAAGAAGTTTTGGAGGTATGTGTTCAGCTGTTGGCGCCCGCCAATGGCAAGCGCGAGGATGAGCACGAAACAGAACAGCGTCCATATGAACCGAGGAATGCGGGAAAAGGGTCGTGAAAGTTGCTGGAAGGAAATGGCGGAACTGTAGATGCTGATGACATTGACGTTGATCCCGGACAAGACAAGGAGGGTGAGAAGGAATTTGGCGAATCCGCGAGGATAGAGCATGTCTTGGATGAGATAACCCAGCCCTTGATTCTCATATGCGTCTTTCCACTCGGGTTTGTTGTTTAGAGCGGAGGCAACCAAGCAGCCGGCCACCATGCCAACCGAGGTAGGGATTGCAATACCAAATGTGGTCATGAAGAAAACTTTCACACGGCTCACGTTGGAAGGGTAGTGAACATAGTAGTCGCTGGCCATTGTGCACCACGAAGCGCTGGACCCGTAGACAACCGCTATTAGGCTGAGAACAGCTCCGACGAAATTCATGCCAGTCGCGGTAGCCGGAGTCGAATTGTCCGCATACTTGCCGGTCTCGGCGTAGATGATCAGAAAGATGACAAAGAAGATCATCCATGCCCATCTCTCGTAGATCAGAATGGCCTTCAACCCGAAGAAAGAGATGATCAACGCCACAACAGCCAGGATGACGATCCCAAGGACCAAGGAGACATGGCCGTCGGAAACCGCCGTTAACGCGAGACCTCCTGTGATGCACGAGACCGCGGCCCAGCCCATCTGCTGGATACTGTTGAGCAGGGCAACGAGCTTATTGGGCCACCAACCGAAGCTGTACCGACTGACGCTGATCTGGCGCAAACCCGTCACGGCGCCGTAGGTGGCGCAGTATCCGCTAAGCGTCGCAGCGAGGATCGAGGCAAAGATGGTGATCAAGATCGATTGTTTCAGGCTCAAGCCGAATTCCCATCCGAGGAAGCCAGTCGCAAAGCAGGAAGTGTTCATTGTGCCACTTGCCCACAGCAATGCCATTGACAATTCTTCCACCCAATGCACCTCTCTCTTATCTTCGGGACGCTTGCGAGTAATGGCTGCGGACTCTATACCGAGTTTCTTGTCCATGCTGGCCTCCATGGCACGGAGCTTGGCCAAGATACCCGTTTCTTGCGAAATAGAGGCATTGTTGTCGACCGGATTTATCTCCTGTTCGTCGGTTGAATAGGCGGCCTTGTCGAGGCCTTTTTCTGGATCCATAGCCATGCGGACGTAGAATAGCGATGGGAAAGGAGAAGGCACAAGGGCAACTGATTGAAAAGAAATTTAACTTGTTATGGGGCACGCGGGGAAAGATAAGGCTTGTCTGAGCGAGGATTTACCGTTCCATTGATTTGTTTAGTTCGTGAACCTAAGTGGTTGGATGGAAACTTAGCGTGCGTTTGGCGGATATTGCCTGCCTGTTTGGGGTTCGCGTCCCCACATAATACAAGCCACGCGAGCAGCGCATTGGATGGATCTCGGGCTATCTTTGAATTTCGCCTGACACAGTTAGATCATGTAACAGTGCACGTGTGGGTAGGATTTTAGGAGTGGCGGCTACATAAGAATACTATTAGATTCCCTGTTTAAGAGTTCACGCGACCAGCAAGTTGAGCAAGTGGCCAAGATTCACTACAGCTTGGTGCCGAGGACAAGCCTTGCCCAGAAGACTTCGGAGAGGTCATAAACTTGGCCCACACGCGGTTAGAAGATAACCTATCTTTCCTAGAAGTAACTGCGACCGAGACATTTATTACCATTATCACTATCATGAGAGCTGGAGATACACACTGTTGATCCGTTGCGCCGCTTCGGGCTTCTCCGAGGCTGGAATCATGTCAGATTACAACGCCACCGTGCTAGGGCCCAGGAACACGAAGAGGCAACGCTAAGAGGCAGTTACACGGTTAGCATCGGATCGGAAAAAGTGTTAGAAGCAATACGAGAATTGAAGAAATTGAGCCGGGCTAAGCGACGGGGCAAGCAGCTCAGGAGTTCTCAGTGTACCTCTCCGTATGTTATTGTAATGCGGTAGAAAGCACGGATTGATGTGGCAAAGTGACTACTAAAGGGATATCATTTAGAACGTATTTTCAAATAAATTAATAATTTAAATGATTCATCATACGAAACGAAACTCTATTCAGTTCTTTCACGCCTATATATTGAAAATGGCGTGGCTAGATATCCAGGCCGTTAGGTTTGAAGACAACCTTATTCAGCTCACCTCGCTCAAACCTTTTCAAAGCATCCACAGAAGACTCGTCTAACTGCGGGAGTACCAAATCAATAAATTTCATCTTCTCGATCAAATCCTTGTTTCGGATTAGTGTGTTGAGAGCGTCAGCAAAAACCACTCTAAGGGGACAGCGTCCGAATTGGATGTGAATGTTTTTGTTGTAGCAATCAGCAGCGCTGAAAGGGAGTTCCCCGTTATGCACGCCTAATACAAGGAATTTTAGCAAACTAGTTTGAAGAGTCGATACGGTCTTTCTCACCGAAAGAACTAATCTTTCCACCGGGACAGATGATGTCGTATGCAGTCTTCAATGCAGGGCTAAGGCCGACCCCTTCAATGACAGCGTGGACTCCATTATTATCAGTGGCCTTTTTGATCACGGAAACTGGATCGACCTCTTTGAAGTTGATTGGAATACAGCCGAGCTCCTTCGCGGTTTCGAGTCGACTGGGGATAGAGTCGATGGCAAATATCCGCGCCGGCTTGTACTCCCGAGCCGAGATGATGGAGCAGAGAGCAACAGGCCCACATCCGATGACTGCAATGCTCATATCTTTCCAGTTTTCACTTGGAGTATCTATGAAGGCTCGCTTTGCACCATTGAACCTGGCATCAGAATCAGAATCAAACGAACCAGCCTTGAATTCATGCATATGCGGTCTTCGCTCACCCGGTTGGAAAAATGTCGGTCATAAGAATTGCAAGCTCTCCCAGATCCGCATCTTTTGGAAGATGATAGAGCGTTGTGTCTGCCAGGGGTACACGGAAATATTGGGCTTGAGAGCCGTCCAAAGTGGGACCACCGAAATTCCGACCATTCTTGCAGCGTCCATGAACTCCTCGCTTGCAGTGGAAACACTCATCGCTGGTAACTGCGGTCAGTGGATAACGCGTGCCGGATGTGAAATATGACAACCAACCAGCTGACCAAAAAAGGCACAATGACAGGATCGCCCACAGCAAAATTCTTGATTCCAGCGCCCGCTTCATGGACAATCCCAATTCCCTCATGCCCGCATATATAGCCTGGCTGCATGTTAATCTTGGAATGACCTCGGTAGCGATGCAGTTCACTGAATGAATTGACAAATATTAGCAGTTGGCCCCTCGAAGGACGACTGCCCTCAAACTCTCATACCTTCCACAAAGCGCAGCGGAGGTTGTTTTGATCAACACATCGGTTGGGTCTACCAGGTGAGGGACTAACAAGTGCTGGTCAGTATGTTCTGCAGTTCATGGTGGCAGACTTGAGTATATCCCATACTTGGCCTCTCTTCCAACCTCACATCATATGGGCCGTGAAATACGAGAGCTTTCATCATCTTGGCGAATCGATAAGGAGACATAAATTGCAAGACTGCAAAGAAATGAAGCCATGGTATATGGTATAAGTTAATTAAAAACCCCGCACTGGTAATCAAGTTCCGGAATCATTGATCCCGCGGTTGGTTTCCTCCACAGATGGATGGGTTGTCGAACAATCGCTACTGGGCTCGGAGGATAAGTCTCCGCAGCCTTCTCCAAATTTCACTTCTCCAACTCCGCTCCATTTCTGAAGATTAAGCTAAGCTGAACTGAACCTGCTGGAAGCAGATGGTTCAGGTGCGGATACTCAGCACACTAAGCCACTTGGAAAGGGGGTTGAGGTTGATCGATTACAGTCCTGCGAAAACTCCAGGTAGCATGAATGACCTCCAAGAGGCTCTGTACAGCTTTACCCTTTACATGTGTCATATCAACGTGAAATATACAGACAAAATAGGCACACCAGCCACAAAACGCTAGTGGTCTCAGCATAATAGACAAGAGAGTATCCTCCGGTTAGAACATGTCTTCATCACCCGTCTGAAAACCCAAATCCTTATCCAAATCCCCCGTAATATCCGGCGGATGGTGATGGTGACTGCTAGTCGAGTACTGTCTCTGATGCGAACCACCACCACTACCAGACAAGATCATATCATGATCGTTGTTCTGGTCATCATCCAACGCGAAGGAGAATAGGTCTTCTTGGTCGTGCATTTCCAAATCCTGTGTCTGGCTCTGCTTCCCGTCGTTGGTGTTATGTAAGTGGTTTCTTAGATTATTGTCGTCGTTGCGGAATAACTCCTGTGTCCAGTCGATGGAGTCCAAGTCTGCGGCGTTTGAGGGTGAGATGGTTGTGTTTTGCGGGTTGTTCATGTATGTGTTTGTGTTTGTGAGACCAGAGGGAGGGGATACGAGGTTGCTAAAGAGATCTGCGTCGAGGGAGAGGAAGTCGAATGGACTGTCGTTTGTGGTTGAAGGGAAAGTGTTCTTATTTGAGCCAGGAGTGCTGGGCAAGTGGTTGTCAAAGTCATTAGAGAAGACAGGTCGTGAGGGTTCGTGGAATGTTTGCGCTCTCGGTTTCCTCTGCTGCTGCTGTAGCTTCGGATCCTGATCATGGAAGGATGTTGCCCTTGGACGCGGGGGTTGGGAGTTGTTCGTGTCGGTGATAGGTTTGTCGTTTAGGTGGTGGGGGGATTGAGCTGTGGGCGTCGTCTCGCTACTCGTTTTGGAGGCAGAGTCAAGGTTGTATTGCATGATTTGCAAAAAAGCGCCCGAATTGCCGCCTTGCATTTTAATCGCGGCTTCGATATTGGCAACCTCCATATCGGCTGCCGGGTAGATGTCTTTCAGGCCATGGAGGACCTGGATGCAGCGGCGGAAGTTGTACATGCTGCTCTCACGCACAGCTGGATTATCGGACATGGTATTGGACAGATGGGCCACGGCCGCAGGTAGGATAACTGTCACGCCGGATTGCGGAAGGAAGCGTGTTAAATTCAGCTGGTTCAAGCCTTGAATGATGTGGGTGATGCCCGCAGCGGCCTCGTGCATCTTGGTACGAGCTTTATTGCGCCATTCGATTCGGGATTTGGACTGATCCTTCGCCACGGCTGCCCATGGTCGGTGCAGCGCGCTGCTTGTTGCGTGGTAAAGCATGCGCACCATGGCACCATGCAGCAGAAGCACATCTTCGCCATCCCGAAAATTGGTTTTTGACGTTGGAAGAAACTGTGCATCTTTGGGCAGTCCAGCAAGCCACGAGTCGAGCTTTTGGCTGCATCGCGTGAATTCGGACTCTGAGGCCTGTCGTGGGACAATTGTGATGGTCGTGCGATCTGTGGCTCCAAACTGACGCTGAGATGGTGTATATTGTGCGAACAATACCCGGCCAATACACTGACAGAGTTTTACTTTCTCGATGAACATTGTTGCAAGCCGTTGCTGGTGCGACACATCTTCGAGCTGTCGGCAGCGAAAGATAGCCACCACAGATGAAGCAAATGGCTCAAAATCAAAATCGTCCAGCTTCAGCATCGGCACATTGCTCGTTCCCTCGTTGACCTGTGATGGGCGTCGTACACCCAGGGCGATCAGCCGATCCCTGGTATATAGACACCACCAGAGCCGAGTTCGTAGCCGCCGGGTCCGTGAGTCCATATCGGCCGACGACGGATCTCTGTTCAGTCCGATTGATTGAGCCTGAGTGTTGCAAACCCCAATCCAGTCCCAGATGTCCCGCTGCGGATTGTTTCCCGGGTCGGACCAATATGTCATCAGCAGCAGTGTTTGCAGAATCACGATACGATCCTCCTCGCAATCGAGCGAATAGAGTAGCTGCAGATATTAGTGAGTATATGAACACGCCTTTGACAGTTTAGAGAAACCCACCCGTAACCGCGTAAAGAAAGCATTGCGCGCGCTTTTCCTCGTCGAGAATCCCGCCGCCTGCAAGTGCTTGAGGTCGACAAACGCCGTACCAACAAACATGACTGCCTGGAACAGCAGCAGACTAACATTCCCCTCTGGGTCGTTTTCCGCCACACAGCGCAGAAACTCCTGCAAGTTGAGCACGGGCATGAAACTATGCACCCACTGGATATAGCACCGCAGCAGTTCATCCCTGAGACCACTCTCAGGGATCGAGAGCGCACCCCGAAATCGCAAAAACTCCAAATCCTCCGGCGCAATACCACTCGGCAACGGTTTCAGAAATCGCGGCTCCTCGTCCAAGATAGCCGTCAGCGGATCGAAGTCCGGATCGATCAGGTCTTGCACTGCGGACACCATATTGGCCAGGGGTAGAGAGGCGCGCACGGCAGGATTACCTCCTCCTCTTCGCCAGGCCCCGGAGGGCTTCGTCTCGTTCAACCATGGCGTCTGGGGGTCATAGCTTGGGAGGCTATGTCGCTTTGCGGCGGGCTCGAGGCGAGTACTATCCGCGTACTGCAGCTTGCGCTTCAGCGCCAGCGCGTGGCTGTCTGCGGTTGTCGACATCGGTGGCTCATGCAGGGCTGTGCATGGTAAGCGGGATTATTTGTGTAACAACTGATGCTGCGGGATCGGCGATGGATAATTCTTCGAGGGCAAATCTGACGGCGCTAGACCCGGCAAAGGCGGTGTTCGGAACCGGGGGAATGTGGGGAGGTGCGGGTGCGCCACTGGGGGAGAATTCGTCATGGAAATTATGTATCAGGGAGTTGGTTCGGCATTTCGATTCTGTTTACTGTTTGCGAGAAATGATTGGGTTATTTGGTAAGTGAAGGCTGGTCTGCGTCTAGGTGGAAATGTATAACCATATGTTGATCTGTGGTAACCCAGAGATATATATGTTTCTGTCTATACACATGACCATGGTATAGTCAGATCCAAAACGATTATATAAATACATGGCTACTTGACACTGGAATACTAGACGCTATATGAGTGTATAAATCTCGACAGATACTGCTACAAAACCCGGACCGGATCCGTCTGAAGCATAACCTTACAACACCGAACAAGAGGTCCATCAAATGGAAGCTGAGATTGATAACTCAACTATGGAGATAGTATAAAGCATGTCTATTCATACATGCCCTTTCCCCAAGGCTATAATACAAGTATCCGAAAGTCCAACCGCATCAAGAGCGGAAATGTCTATAGCACGCAGTTCCCAGACCGACGCCGATATGCTTCCATCGATATCAAAACGAGAACCACGATTCATGCGGCGATATCACAGTCATTTAAACACTGAGTTATATGTCAATTTTCATACCGGACCAAATCGGGGGGCGTTGGGCGGCGACTTACGGAGGGAGGAGGAACTCTCCGAGGCTGCTGTGGAGGAACGCGACGCCGGCCTAAGAGGAATACGTCAATCTCGAATTGCTGGTAATGTGAGAGCCTTCTCGAGCCCAGGGAGATACATACACCGAAGACTAGCAGGCTCCGGACAATGGTGGTGTTCTCGGGGGAGGTGGCCTCGTCGTAGACAGTGTTAAGGAAGCTCTTCTGGGGGCGAGCAGAGGAGCTCGAGACGACGACGCGCTGCTTGGGAGGCATAGTGACAAACGAGTTGTTGGTGAAAGACGAACGGGTTTCAAGTGGTGAGTGACGGGATGAAAGTGAAGGCAAAGCGGACGGAAAGAAATCTGAGTTGCGCTTTTAGCTCGCCTCACCGCCCGTATATCTTTCGCGCCCTACCACCCTCACTGCTAGTTACGGATCTCATACGCGCCCCCGACTATTGGACGATTTCTTTGCGCTTTGTTTTGATCACTAAGAAAGGCTCGGACTATTGACTGCAATTCTTGGCCTCCGTGCATGCGCTGCAGTTGCCATGGCGAGCGTCGACGAGCTCTTCAAGGTAAACCGCCGCAACATCCCAAGTCGCGAGCGGGACTGACCATGCTAGAAACCCTCATCGGCAGCGAGTTCCAAGCGCAAGTTCGAGTCTGTCCGCGATCCAAGTATGTTCCTCCGATCCCACGTCCACACGACCGGCAGCCCGGGCTAACGTGACGTCCCAAGATGAGCTGTACAAAGCCGCGAAAACAGATCCCAATGGCGATGTAAGGTCGAAAGGAAAAGGCGCGATGGTGGAGGACGAAGAAGCGGAAGACGATGACGGCGAAGCTGGACCCGAGCTGCCTCCCGACTTTGACCAGGAGGATGTACCGGATGACGAGGAGGGACGCTTCTTTGGCGGTGGCATGGAGCGGAAGACGGCGCAGGCGATGCAGTATATTGATCAGCAGGAGGGGGAAGATACTGCGGTATGCAATTTTCTATATGGCTGGGTGCTCAATGCGCTGACCGAGCTATCCATCTAGCCCGAGAAATTCGACTCGACATGGGTGCGCCGATTCGCTCTGGGATTTGAAAAGAAGATATCCAAGAACGCCGAACTGCGTGCGAAATTCGAAAACGATCCCCAAAAGTACGTGGTGCTTGGCTGTTGTTGGCATGGAGATGCTGATCGATTTGCAGATTCATGGCATCCGAGGCCGATTTGGACACCGAAATCAAGAGCTTGTCGATTCTATCCGAGCATCCGGACCTCTACGAAGAGTTTGCTAAGATGGGTTGCGTGGGATCATTGGTGTCCCTGCTTTCTCATGAGAATGCCGATATTGCCATCGATGCTATCCAGATCATGAGTGAGTTGACGGATGAGGATGTTCAAGCCGAGCAGGAACAATGGGATAGCTTGGTCAACGCAATGGTACGTTGTGGTTGTATTTTAGTATTGAATAATATGCTAACAGTCCTCAGATGGATGCCGATCTCATTGAACTGTTGACACAAAATCTCTCGCGTCTTGACGAGGGCTCGGAGTCAGACAGAGCAGGAGTTTATTACGTCTTGAGTGAGTTACCACCGATTACACAATAACAATTACTTATCCCCTGCAGGTGTCTTGGAAAATCTAGCTTCTCAGTCGTCTGTCGCGGAGAAGATCGGGCAAGACGCTACAATACTGCCTTGGATTTTGTCCCGCATCCAGCAGAAAGAATCCCCGGTCAGCCAGAACAAACAGTACGCTGCGGAGATCCTAGCGATTCTATTGCAGTCGTCCTCGAAGAACAGAGAGAAGTTTGCCTCTCTCGATGGCGTTGATATTCTCCTTCAGCTACTCAGCCAATACCGGAAACGAGACCCGGCAAAGGATTCTGACGAGGAAGAATATGTGGAGAATCTGTTTGACACCTTGGTCTGCCTGGTAGATAAGGACACCGGCAAGGACAAGTTTGTGCAAGGCGAGGGCATTGAGCTCGCACTGATCATGCTCAAGGAGGGCAAGTTCAGTAAACCGCGCGCGCTGAGAGTTCTCGACCATGCGTTTGGCGGAGTTGGGGGTGCGCCTGCATGCGAAAGATTGGTCGAGGCTGCAGGCCTCCGAACGGTTTTCGGAATGTTCATGAAAAAGGTAAGCTTGACTTCTACCCGGTAATCCACGCCACGCTAATACCCGTCTAGCAAGAGAGCCAGAACATCGAGCACTTCCTCGGTATCTTTGCCTCACTTCTTCGACTTCTGCCGGGCGGATCTGCAGCGCGTATTCGCACACTGGCAAAATTTATGGAAAAGGACTATGAGAAGATCGATAAGCTCATCAAGTTGCGCCGCGAGTACGCTGCCCGCGTCGCCCCTGTGGAGCAAGCTATCGAGAACGAGCGCAAATCTTTATCGAAGGAGGACCAAGAATACATGGCTGCCGAGTGGCTTTCGCGGCGCTTTGATGCTGGACTGTTCTCATTACAGGTATGATTGAAGACTCTTTCAAGCTCGGCCACATACTGAAATCCTGGTCAGACAATCGATGTCATCCTCTCATGGCTGGTTGCCGAGGATGATGGCGCAAAGAAGAAAATTTTGTCTCTTCTAGCAGACCGGGATGAGGATCTGAGCTTGGTACGGGGCACTCTACAAGGTAAGAAGATCTACCGTAAATTAAATGCTACAAATGCTGACTTGGGTAGAACAACTGGAGGGCCTTGGAGAGGAGGAACCGGGGCAGAAAGATTTCAAGGATATGCTGAGCACGCTGCTGCAGTTCCTATGATCATCCAGCATGGAGTGTACTATAGCGTTCACAAACCAATAATCCTGTAGCCATTCCGTACTATAAAATGTCTTATAGTTTCACGTGACCACCTAATCAGGTTAGCGCCAGTCCACCTGACCTGTCGAGAATCCATCGCCTTCCGCCATCTCAATTCATCCGGCGCATTCTCTTCCCATACCACCCGCTGAGATCCTCCCTGACCAGCTCTCAGTCGTCAGGTTCGCTTCTGCAGAGTATCGCACTCACTGACAGGCGGGCGCTGCAGCGCGCGGGGCGACACGACTCGAGACTTTCCTCCAGCCGACGCGACTCCCTGCGCTCACGGACCGCGGATCTCTCACTTTTCCTTGACGACCGTCCCCGACGACTTCCAGCTCAGACAAGATGGCCGATTACGACGAGGCATATGAGGAGGAGTTTTACGATGATGCGGAGGAGGGCATCACCTCGGAGGACTGCTGGACCGTGATCTCTTCGTTCTTCGACACGAAGGGTTTGGTGTCCCAGCAGTTGGACTCGTTTGATGAATTCATCTCGTCGACGATGCAGGAACTTGTGGAGGAACAAGGACAGGTCGTTCTCGATCAGACTCTTCCCCCAAATGAAGACGAAGAAGACCCCGTGGTCGTGCGTCGGTATGAGCTCAAATTCGGCACCGTCATGCTCTCGCGACCGTCCGTGACTGAGGGCGACGGTGCGACTACGATCATGCTGCCGCAGGAAGCGCGTCTCCGAAATTTGACCTACGCCAGTCCGCTGTACCTGGGCGTCACGAAGAGGATCATGGAAGGGCGAGAGCGACGGGTTGCCGATCGCGACGACGAGGAGGCCGTCGAGGCCGATGAAAACCAGAAGACCCGTGGCACATACCTGTCGTGGGAGCAGAAAGAACTGCCTGCGGAGCAAATGAAGGAGGAAACGGTGTTCATTGGCAAGATGCCCATCATGCTCAAGTCCAAGTACTGCATATTGAAGGACCTGAACGAGCAGTCTCTGTACGGCTGGAACGAGTGCCCCTACGACTCGGGCGGTTATTTCATCATCAACGGAAGCGAGAAGGTTCTGATCGCGCAGGAGCGCAGTGCTGGCAATATCGTCCAGGTCTTCAAGAAGGCCCCACCGAGCCCAACACCCTACGTGGCGGAAATTCGAAGCGCTGTCGAGAAAGGTTCGCGCCTTCTCAGTCAGCTGGCGCTCAAGCTGTTTGCCAAGGGCGACAGTGCCAAGGGAGGCTTCGGCCCGACTATTCGATCGACTTTGCCGTACGTCAAGACCGATATCCCCATCGTGGTTGTCTTCCGAGCGCTGGGCGTCGTTTCCGACGAGGATATTCTGAATCACATTTGCTACGACCGCAATGATACCCCGATGCTGGAGATGTTGAAGCCTTGTATTGAAGAGGGTTTCGTCATCCAAGACCGCGAGGTGGCACTTGACTTCATCGCCAAGCGAGGCTCATCACAATCGAACCTGAATCACGAGAGACGTGTGCGATACGCGCGGGAGATTATGCAGAAGGAGCTGCTCCCTCATATCTCACAGAGCGAGGGTAGCGAGACGCGCAAGGCATTCTTCTTGGGCTACATGGTGCACAGACTCCTGCAGTGTGCGCTGGGTCGCCGTGACGTTGACGATCGTGACCACTTCGGAAAGAAGCGTCTCGATCTGGCTGGCCCGCTTCTGGCGAACTTGTTCCGTGTTCTTTTCACTCGCGTTACTCGAGACCTGCAACGCTACGTGCAGCGGTGTGTTGAGACAAACCGTGAAATCTACCTGAATATCGGTATTAAGGCCAGCACGTTGACCGGCGGCCTGAAGTACGCCCTTGCCACCGGTAACTGGGGAGAGCAGAAGAAAGCTGCCAGCGCCAAGGCCGGTGTGTCCCAAGTGCTCAGTCGCTATACATATGCGTCTACACTGTCTCATTTGCGTCGCACCAATACCCCCATCGGCCGGGATGGCAAGATCGCCAAACCGCGCCAACTCCACAATACTCACTGGGGTCTGGTGTGTCCCGCCGAAACGCCCGAAGGACAGGCTTGTGGTCTTGTCAAGAATTTGGCACTCATGTGCTACATCACTGTTGGTACGCCTAGCGAGCCAATCATCGACTTCATGATTCAACGCAACATGGAAGTCTTGGAAGAATTCGAGCCTCAAGTGACGCCCAACGCTACCAAGGTGTTTGTCAATGGTGTCTGGGTTGGTATCCACCGCGACCCGTCACATCTCGTCAACACCATGCTGTCGCTGCGCCGACGGAACATGATCTCCCACGAAGTCAGCTTGATTCGGGATATTCGTGAGCGGGAATTCAAGATTTTCACCGACACTGGTCGTGTTTGCCGCCCGCTTTTCGTCATTGACAACGACCCCAAGAGTGAGAATGCCGGGTCGCTGGTCTTGAACAAAGAGCACATCCGGAAGCTGGAGCAGGACAAGGATTTGCCACCGGATATGGATCCAGAAGACCGCCGGGAGCGCTACTTTGGTT